GTAATTTTTGTCACTTGCAGAGCACTATTTAAATTAATACTCTGTGACTTGCAAGAATAATTGCAATGTTATTTCAGGGAAAAAAATGTAATAAACATAAAGTAGAGATACATTGCAACCAGATATAAGATGTATTGGGAATAAAAAGTCTTAAAATAATTTGATTTTATTAATTTATTAATTCTTATAATAAACATTAAACTACTACTCATTTATTGGGTGGGGGAGAGCCTAAATCCATTAAAAATAGTTGAGCTACATCCCAGTTTTCAGAAGTACGTACGAACAATGCAAATGCACAGTTTAAATGCAGTAAGATAGTACACAACATTTAATAATATCCACTCTTTAAGGATTATAAAAAATTTTAAAACATGATAAATTCAAGCTCAAATCTGAAGAACTGATTCATCAGCTGAAGATATAAATACATCTTAGATAGTATAAACATGTGAACATAACTTTCACATAACATAATACATGTAGAGTTGCCAACTCTCCTGATTTAAGCAGGAGACTCCCTATTTTGGACCATTCTCCTACCAACCCGATTTTCAATATATTTTTCCCGACTTTTTTTTTTTTATTATTCTTAAAATTTCTCATGATTTTTATGTATATTGGCTTACTTCTGGCTTCCTATACTTTGTTCTTTGCACCAAAAAAGTGATTCTGGGTGTCGCTTGGTTTTTCTCTAGATTATATCTGAAAGAAAACCAAACTCATTTCAGCAGTGAAAAATTATGCCGCGCTTCTGTTCTGAGAGCGAGACCACCCCATGTGTTAAAAAATGTTGTGTTCCAGTTCTCCAATCAGCATCAAGCACCAGTGCGTACAATCTGGCATATATTAGCCAATGAGCTAAACCAAGATCAAGGCTGTAATTTCATTCATCTTGTCATTGACTGGTGTGAGAGCACATGCTTTCGGGAAATAGTTTAAGAAATTACAATCTTTTGTGTTAGTTATGTATGCAAAAAAGCTGCTTTTCAAAAAACATACACAGATGACTTTCCTTCTATTATTTCCTCATGAAAGTATCATACATTTGCAATGTGTACTGTTTGTCATTGCGATTTTTTTTTAAATTTTGCATGGTAAAAGGGCCGACGCTCTCAAACATGTGTGTGCACAAAAACATGACAACATGAATTCTGTTGAAAATAAAAAAAAATAGAGTTTACTCACGAAACAAAGGACCAAAAAGTTATTAATGCCGAATGCCTGTTCTCTGCCTTTTTACTTGAGCAAAACCTGCAACTGACTGCATCGGATTATGCAACAGCTTTATTTAGAAAAATGTTCCTCTATAGCAAATGGCTGCAATTGTTAAAGAAATGGCTATGAAAAATAAATCTTCAGTTATTGACTGCATTGAAACAGCTCCATTTTGCCTCTCTACGGATGAAAGCAATAATACCGATTCAAAATTATATAAATTTGCTGTCTTTTATTTTAATCCAGTGTCTTCAGAAATTGAGTGCAGTTTACTTCCTGTTCCCACCTTAGAAGGACATTTAACAGGCTTTAATATAGCACAGCTAATTATTAAAACTTTAAACAAAAATGCAATTCCTCTAGATAATTGCTTAGCACTTGGTGCTGATAATGCAGCAGTAATGTAAGGTTTAAAGATAGGTGTTGCAGGCAACTTAAAAAAAGAATTCAGATTGCATATACGAGTTCCTGTCACATCTAAATTAGCGCTGAAAAATGAGCAGCTTCTTTACCAAAATGGATAACATTGTTGATATTTATTATTATCTTGAAAGGAGTTCTAAAAGGAAGAAAAAATTGAAACAATTCCAACAGCTGCATAATACTGAAATAAGAAAAATTTTGAAACATCACACGCTGACTATCTTTAAAGAAATGTTTATCTAGAATCCATGATCAATAGAACCCACTTTTTTTGCATTTTTTAAAGAAGTAAATGCTTCTACAGTAAAAATAAAAAGCTCAATGCAAAGTTATAAAATACCTAAAGTAAATGGAGATGTAGCTACTACTTCAGCTGTTAAAAATAGGTTTGAGAAAAACAGTAATTTCTGCACCAGTGAAGAATTTACTTGGCAGTTTCAAAATAATACTACAAAATATAAGCGTAAAGCTGATACAAATTTCTCTCTATCTCTCTCTCAAAAATGTTTTTCTCTTCCGACCTTAACAAAGCTTTTTGTTCTTTTGTACAATTCATTTTGCGATCATTCGATGTTCTTAACACAGTTCTACAAAGCTGAATTCCATTAATTTATGTTTTGGAATCAATGATTTATGATCTGTTTAAAGACATTTTTATCAACATTTGTAAAACCAGTCATTGTCTTGGCTTCTAATTTTATATATAATGTGATTTATGGTGAAATAGAAAGTCAGAAGAAAGGTGAAGATTTGGTAATATGGGCTGCAACTAAAAAAGTAGTGGAAGACCTTTCACACAAAGAAAAAAATATATTTTATATATATGTTAGACCCATATCACATGACGTTTGTTTCACTCGAACAACTGTTTTGGACAAGATTTTTCACTGGTTTACTATTGAAAGAAAGACGTTCAACTTTTTCCTTCCTTTCCAAAAAAATTTCAAGTTGTTCATTTTCAACCAATCAGCTATCAGCTTCGAATGCTATCAGCTTGTTTGCAATAGGGAACCAGTTTCCCCTGTGTAACCCCAAAGCGATCTATGGTGATTGGCTGTTGTGACAAAAGCAGAAAATTTTTTCCAAACAGTTGTTCTTCCGAAACAAACCGCCATGTGATAGCAGCCTTAGATGCTACTTCTGCCAAGTATATGATTACATACTACATTAATTTCCAATCAACGATGAAGTGATTTTGCACGCTAAAGTTGCTGATGTTTCTACTCTAGCAAATGCATTTTTTTCTGATATAAGAATTTTTTTAATAGATTTCCAGTTTTACTTCATTTAGTCATGATATTAATGTTGCAACTGATAAATTGCAGTCACAGTTTTGCAGTTTACAATTAGAAAACTTGGATGAAGTTATAAAACCAGCTGGCATTCACACCCAGTGGAGTTTAATTGGAAAACTGAAAGATGCTGATGGAATTTTAAAAGTATTTAAAGTATTTAAAGAACTGTCTAGAATAATGTTGGCTATTCTGACAATGCCCCATAGTAATGCAGAATGTGAAAGGATTTGCAGTGTTGCTGCGAAGACAAGGACTATCTTCAGATCTAACATTAATAATGACTTGTATGAAAACTGATTAAAGCATTATTTTTTGTTAAAAGATGGAAATAAGAAAAATGTTTTTTATAAGTAAGTATTTTTGTACTGTTTGCATTTAAGAATTAGTAACTGAACTTTCAGATGATTATTTAAAGTTAATTCCTTATTAAAAATACATTTTCATAATTTAAAAAATATTTTTGTCGTTAAGAAAAATCTCCCAATTTTTTAGTGTCTTAGGTTGTTAAGTATGTACATGATATTTTTAAGTTATATTTTAAAATACTCCTGACAATATTTTAAATACAGTACATTGGTCAATAAAAGACATGACCAAAAATACTGAAAAGCATGGATTATAATTACAATACATGAAATAATAATTACAGTTTAAATTTTTTCAAAAAAAAAAAAAAAAAAAAAAAGAGAACAATCTTGACCTTAAAAAAGAAATCAAATGCTGCAAATCAAATCAAATTCATAAGATGCATAAGAATTTGTACATCAATAGCAGAAATATGTAATTGTTTCCCCTATGATAGTAATGTAATCACCAATGAAGAGATATAAATAAAAATATCGAAAAAAATGTGCATTATAATTATAATGCTTAAGCGTGAAATAATGGCTAGAGTTGTATGGTTTTATGTTAATCAAACAACTATCCTATAATTTTGCCTGTGCTTTAAAACTTCTACTTTTGTCGCCTTCCTCCCCAACCATCAAATGCAAATAAGTGTAACATATTTAAATGCAACAGTCTGAAAGAGTTTTTAGCATCTGCAGCTGACTATCACTCTGTACTTCTGCAAATGAATTATTTAAATTGGTTTTAGCTTCACTAGTTTTAATTGCTTCATGAAAGATGGTTCAGCCAAACCTTTGTAAGCATGTTTCATTTTGTATTTGCTTTTACTCAAGCACTTGTTCTGAATTTCCTGCTAGCTGTGGAGTAAAAAAAAAAAAAAAAAAGTTTTTTTTTTAAACTTCTTCTGAGTGTGTCTTATCAGCTTAGAGGTTTAGAGGGGATAATTAATCTGACTGACTGCATGGTTCTAGGAGTTGACAATCAGAGTAGATTAGAATTTCACACAGTTATCTTTTCTCTAAATCTTTATTAATAATATTAGCCTTAAAATTAAAATTTAAAATAAAAACTTCATAGAGGGATGAAAAATAATTTTAGATACACACTTGTTTATATGTCAGCGACAGAAATAACAATGGTTCTTTTTAATAATGTTTGAATATTTTTAATTTATAATATATATATGATAAAATTTTACCAACAGATTACAATAATCTTTATTTTTCAGAGAAAACTTAAATTTAGTCATTTTCTTTTAATATTTAAAAACTAGCAAATTTCATTATATTTATTTAAAATACTTACTTCATTCCCACTTTTAGCATGCTCAGGAAAAAATTATCAATCTCAAATAATTCTTGTATATTTATATGAGACATATCCTATAAAGAGAATTGCATTAGTAACTCACAAATTTTAAACCTATATTAAGAACACTAATATTGCCCAGGGTAAAAATCAGCTATCAAGTACAGATATTACAAACTGATGGAAGATCTTTGGATTTACAGAGGTTGTTTGCATATTTTTGAAAAATTTTTTAAGCAACTAACTCAAATTAATGATGCATAAAAATAATTGACAACAGGCTTTATTATTGGGGCATAAATTTGATAAGCTAAAAATGTCCCATATTTTAAAGATATCGATATGCTTTTGCACTTTTTGAAGAAAAATATTTTCTTTTTTCAACGTTAATAAAAGAAAAAAAAAAAAAAAAAAAAAGAGTGCGAGAATTTTGACACAATGTCCAAATGTACAATAAAATATTTGCACAAAACAAAATAAAACAATTTTTTAAGAGAAAATAAAAAGCCAAATATTTACTTAAATTTTTTTTGAGTTGTTTTGTTGAAAATGATAAGTTTGAAAATTTCAAAAATAAGTACTTTTTTCATTGATTGTGAAAATTAGTGAACATTCTGCCAAACTTGTCCCATTCATTTTGGTGAAAGTTTGAAGGAGCAGCTTGCTTTTTATTTATTAAAATAATCAACAGATAAAAGTTATGGACATAGCATATAATTCTGGAGTCGTGGAACCCCAAATTCTCCCATTAATAGAAATTCATTTATTACAGATTTTCAAGTTGCAACATCACTGTTTATCCATTTTCCAATAAAATTCCATATAGTGTCCATTAATATGCATTTTTTTTAATGTCAGAACTTTGAAAATATTACACAAAAATGTTCCTTGCATGCAACATCCCTAATTATAATCATTTTTTAAAATGCCAGGCAAAAACAGAGAAATAATTCTAAACTTATATCCTTCTTTGCTATTTACTAAATTAGCTTAAGGATTAATAGGTGTTATACAACACCAAGGCAAAAGCTCTTATGTGTGGGTTTTTTATGTCATGCTTATTCATTATTGGTGCTAAATCACACTGTTTGGCAAGTTTTGTTTATTAAAAATGATTGATGGGGCAAAAATACTGAAAAATTAAATCTATGGTCCTAAAAGAAAGCCAAATAAAACTATGGATAACATTATCACTTTAAAATGCCTTTTTTTTTACTGTGAATAAAATAAACAACAACAAAAAGGAGAAAATGCAACGTTCAAAACCTTCATATGAAACGTGGCAGAATGATTAGATATAAACGCTTTACGAAAATCTTTTTCATGTAAAAACAAAAAATTGTTATGAAAAAGAGATCAATTATCTGCTATAAAAGAAGACGGAAAAATTCAAACCTTGGTTTCAACAGCCTAAAGGAATTTTCTGTAAAAGGTTTATAATCATAGATGTCTTTTCAATCATCGAAAACTGAAATTAAAATAAGTCAAACGAAATGCTAAAAACAAACTTTACATATTACTAAATCAAAGTCGTAACCCTCCAATTTAAAATAGAAATCACACTTCTTTAACAATGCAATGGAAAAAAGAAACTTAATTTCACCAAGACAAAGCCATAAGTCACACATCCAACATTTATGACTCAATTTCTGGAAACAGTGGTAAGGGAGACTGGCTAAAAATGTTTCATTTTAAGCTATTAAGCTGCATATCAATTTTTATGACAGATAGGCATTTCTTTATTTTCCATAAAAAATGTTCCCACTTTTCTTGTACTATTCTATATAGTTAATCACTTGTTCAAATTCCAAATATTTCAGCAAAGTCTTCTATTCTGGCATTGACAGACTCCGTGAGCACTTGATCAAAAGACGAACTAAAAAAAGTAGCACAGGAAGAATGGGAAAAAATTCTCATGGCAGAATAAAGAGAAGCCTTTCTGCCATAAAATTCATAGTTCAGCATGATAGTAAAAAAAAGGGGGGGATGCCAGACAGAGCATTTAAAAAACATGTGAACACTTCTACAGATTAAGTTACAAGTTCAAAAACTAAAGAAAGTAAGTTAATAAAAAAAATAATGAGCAAAATGTTATCAGCTTGATATATCATCCTGAATTACATAGCCATGATACAGCTATATAATTTATTACAAATATGAAAGAGGGGAACATAAACAATTATTTGCATTTAAAATAAATAATAAAATAAGATTGAAAAAGAATGTTTTCATTAGTATAGAATACCTGTAAAATGCCAACAATAAAATTTTGTAGATTTGTGTCAATTAATCCATTTCTATTGGCAGCAGATGAAATAGTAGATGTGTACCACAACAAAGCAAACCTCAAAACTGGCAAATCGGACTTTCCGTTCTCAAGTAAGCCATTTCTCCATACTTTCAAAAGTGGAAGGAGAATACTCATTTCTGTAGGGCTTTTGTCATTATCTTCAAGTAATTTAAAATACTTGCTCAACTTTCGTATAGCTAGGTTAAATATTAAAAAAAAAAGTAAAAAATATGATAGTTAATACTCATATTTATTTTTCAGCATTGTAATTTTTAACAAATTGTATAAGAAATCATAAAAAGCATTTTTCAATTTAAAAATGTCTATACCAATATGAATAGCATTTATTGTTTTAAAATATCCTTTCCAAATTTACACATTACGGCTTCAGAAAAATTTATGGCTCTGTTTATAATCAAATATTCTTAATAAGATATGCAAAGTGAAATAGAACCATTTTTCCCTTATAAAAATAGTAAAATTTGTGAAAATATTGAATGATCCTGAGAAATAATATTGAAGTAGTTAGAAGAAAATATTATAAATATATAAAAAATCATAATTATTGGAAACTTATAGTTAATGTCACAGTACGATAATCTATTTTATTCCCTAGAAACAATGCCAGACAAATCCCTTCATTTTTATTATATTATTAAACAGAATATGAAAAGTATGACTTTTTTAACAGCTGTAAATTATTACACAAATGCAGCCAGATAACAGTGCAGAGAATAATATTTCTTTATTAAATTTCATATTGTGCATCATATTATGGAAACTTAGGACCAGAAACATTTTATTTATTAAGTTTCAGATTAAAAACATTAGTTAATGATTACACAAGGAATAATTTTTCTTAAATCACATTATTTGACATTCTTAATTTTTAAGGTATTAAAATATTATTAAGATGCACATACTTTTCAGAAAAACCTTATACATTCTGCAACAAAAAATTCACAGTCACAATTATAATCTAAACTAAATTAATAAAACTAAGCAGTATTCTCTCAGGTACGTAATACATGGCACTAGGAATAGCATTTATTAATTACAAAAATATTACAAATGCACATAAAAATTATAAAATTTACATGCTAGACATTAATTGTATTACAATTTAAATCATTTGGGTAGATTATTACAATAAAATTAAAGTGGAGGTGGCCATCAAAAACACTACTTGTTCATGACCCATGGGTCAACAATCACCAGTGTGGAACAACACAGTAAATTTAAATAGACTATTACAGTAAAATTAAATTTGATTAACATCAGTGATAAATAGCAATTGACAAGCTTGTTAGTGAATAAGGATTCATGGGTTTGGTTAAGATTATTTAAAACTTTAAGGTAACTCATTATTAAAATTTAAGGTCATTTTAAAGCACCCATTAAAACTATTCACCATTTGTGAACTATGGGTTGAGAGACATCATTGTGGGGTAAAGCAGTGCATTTCTAGTAACTTATAAAAATAAAATTAAATAAAAAGACAACAGTGAGCTACAAACTGCTTTTAACTAGCTATAACTAAGACGTAAATCATTGACTGCCAATTTGTAAGTCATCAGAATAGGACAATGTAATAAATTTAGATAAAATTTAAAAGTAAAACTTAACTCAAGAACATCAGTATCATTAAGATTATTGGTCAGCAGTAAACATTAACTCCATTAGTCATCCATGACCTATGGACTGAAGATCATTAAATGCACGGCATTGAAGTGTTTTGGGTAAAGACAACTTTTGCCAAAACACATGGATGATAAATACACTTCAAAGTCCGAGATCCAGACATACAATATCTGGAATAATTTAAAATCCAGACCTTAAAGCCACAAACAAAAAAATTTTTTAGGAATTTTTTTTTATTCTTTATGCATGAGCTTATGATTTTTCCCCCATAAGAAAACATATGGAAAACCATGATTCTTAATTTCCTTTTGTTACAAAAATACTTAATAAATAAAATATTTCGTTACAAATCATTTTAGCATAAATTTGTGTGATCAATAATTTGGCTCCATAGCTGCATATCTGCTTGGCATACATCTCAAACTGAAACATTCTACACAGAAACATCGTTGATTTTACAACTACTAATATTTTAAATCCTTGATGTCAACCCAGCGAATCATTATTTATTATATTTTGCGTTCATCCCCCCATATGTTTATTAACACATGCCAACTTGAGTAATGACTTATCCAGCAATGCCTAAACAATTTTTTTATATTAGTAATCGAATAACAAAGAGTATGGAAACCTTTTGTGTTGCCATCACTCACAGATTTTTAAGTTTAATGTGTGAAATATTGATAAAGAAAAATTTAACAAAAATTTCTTTCTATATGCTAAAAATAAATTTTGTTAATGATACTCATAGCCAAAAGATTACATTTAGTTTAATTTAAATTAAGAATAACTGATATTTTAATCACATAAACCCAGAATCGGCGGCAGACCTCATATGGCCGCACCAGGTGGCAGAATTTAGGGAAGACAAAGCTTTTGGAATTTAGAGAAGCACTGATTAACAAAATTAAGAGATGATAAAATTTTTTTAATTTAGGGAAAGCACTGAGACCCAGAATTAAGGAATGACAAAAATTTAGTATTTAGGGAGGCACTTGGTAGCAGAATTTAGGAACTGCAGAGACTGCACCAGAGGGCAAAATACCTAGTGCATCAGGAGGCAAAATACACTTAGTAAGCTTAAGTATATGTGGGAATTTATTTATTCAGGACTCGGATAAGACTTAAGCATTGTATAACAAATAACTAAATTAATACAATGCAGGTTTAATTGTCTCAGTGTGCAAAAGAAGCAAGACAAAATTTAACAGAACACAGTGTCTTTTGTCACCAATCTCATGCTACATAGCCAATAATGTATAGCTGATGCTGTTAAGCTAAGCTAAAATTATACTTTACTGATTCCAAAGAATTTCAGTTACTATAGCAGATTGCACTATTCCTTAACTTTCTGATTTGATCCAGCTTATTATTTTTTGCAGGCTGTTATAATTAAAGCAATTTTATGGAAACTAAAGTTTGAACTTTCAATTATATCAAAAAGAGTTTCTAATTCTGGAGCTACTAACAAGATATATAAAGAGAAAGCATGTTTTGATGTCCATTAAACAAAAAGTGGGATTGCTGCAAAAAATAGACATAGGTACAGCTGTCTCAAAATTATGTGAGGAGTATGGCATTGGAATGTCAACTGTACATGATTTAAGAAAACAGGAAAAGAAACTTTATGAATTTTTTGTGGATTCCGACACCTCACACGCAATGAATAACAGACAAATTATTCATTATGCTTAAAGTGATGTTCATGACTAAGTAATGACTGAATGGTCAGACAGAGACACAGTGAGGGCGTGCCATTGATAGGTTCAATGCTAATGGCTCAAGCCAAAATATTTCATGAAAAAATGAACTTAAAAACTGAGTGCACATATTAGACAGACGGGTTAACCAAATTTTAAAATCGCTGTGGTATAATGGAATTAAAAATCAGGTGAAAAAGCTTCAGCTGATATTGAAGCTGCTGATCTATTTGCAGATGAATTCACTGAGCTCATTAATAGGAAACATTATCTCCAGGATAAATTTACAATGCTGATGAAACTGATCTTTTCTAGGAATATGTACCGTGAAATGCCTTGGCAAGCTCTACAGAAAACACTCTAACTGGTGTCAAAGATTCCAAAGCTAAACTAACAATTTTAGCATGTGCAAAAGCTGTAGGAACACACAAGTGTAAAAGTTTCCTAATCAGAAAAAATGCACAACCTTGAGCATTAAAAGGAGTAAAGATTTTCCCATAATATATCATATAAATAAAACAGCATGGCTAACACAAGCGTTAATGTATGATTGGTTTCAAAATAAATTATTTCATACCTGTGGCTGGGTAAAATTTGAATTCGGTTGGTTTACCTGATGATCCAAAAATTGTCCTGATTGTAGATAACTGTTTAGCTCATATTTTACTTAAAGTTTTAATGAAAGATAATGTATCCATGTTATTCTTTCCACCAAACTGTATTCCCATCATTCGGCCTATGGATATTAGAATAGTGAGCATGCTGGAATGCAAATCTAAAGAAGCAGTTTTAAAATCCATGTTAAATTTCTTGAATAATGACAAGACGATTCAAGAAGTTTTGAAATATTTTAGCATAAAATCTGCTATGTGGAGCATTGGAAGATCATGAGAGGATGTTACTTTAAAAAACAGATACTACAGATACTTTAAAAAATGCTTGGCATAATTTATAGCCAGCTACCATATTTCATGGTGAGGATGATGAAGATGATAGCTGCAAATTTGAAGCCTTTTGGATATCACAAAACCACCAGTGAAATTTTCCAATCAATGGATTTTGTAAAGAAATGTGGAGAAGCAGAGAAATAAATGAAGATAATATAACAGAAGTTTTTCATTGCGATGACAATGCTCCAATCATCAATCAATTAACAAATGGTGAAATCTGCAGTATGGTTCTAGATTCAGAAAATACTGTTGCCGATAGTGAAGAAAGTGACAGAAAGGTTATTGAAAATGAAAATATTTCGATTGAAAAGTTATTAGGAATTCTCGACACAACAAGTACAGGACATGAATGTCTTTGTGGAACTTTGCAACTGAACAAGAAATTATGTCTATCTATATAATTAAACAGAAAGTATTAGCATAACAAATTAAGCAAGTTAAACAATATACATTCAAAGAAATGTTTAATAAAGTAAACAAATAAGTATTAAGCTTTTTTTTTTTTTTTTTTTTTTTTGTAAATTTTGATACTCTTTAGATCATAAATGCTTCATTATTTCATAAATTATGATTTCATATTTTTAGTTTTATAATTTTTACATGCCATCTTACTAGATTTAAACTGATAATCTAAATCTGGAAAAATCACAAATCCGGAAATGATGAAGTCCCGATGAGTTTGGATTTCAGACTTTGTACTGTAGTAATACTAGCAAATTTTAGCAAGCTAAAAATTCTGTCTGGATATTTTACCAAGGAAATTAATATTCATCACTAATAAATAAAATATTTAAAATTGTGTTTAATTTAATAATGTCAAAATATTTTTAAATCAGCAAATGCATGCTATTACATTCAAAAGACAATGCATAAAAAATTTTTAAATCTACTTACACAGGTATTTTTCATGAAAAATCAATTCCATGGTTTTTCCAATATCGCATTCATTTAGCAATGAAGCCTCAGGAATTAAAGTCTTTGAAGTAAAGAACTTGGAAAATATTTCCCAATAAGATGAGGCTATATGCTTCAAGAACTCTTCATCTTGTTGATTTCTTTCCATTGTGAAATTTTTCACACATTTACTAACCAGATACACAAAATCAACATCTTTCATTGTTTCAATATTTTCACAAATTTTAGTTTGGATCACACTTCTGAATTGGCTATTCAGATCGAGTAGCATTCCCAATACTGGGAAATCTTCACTTAAACAATACTGGAATAAGTGCAAACAAGAATCTAGAAATAAAATAATATGAACAGAGTTTTAGAATTTAATACCTATAATGCATTTTGGGAGAGAAGACAAGCAATTACAAATTATAACAAATAACTAAAAATAAAATACATATGAAAAAACCTAAATGACTTTTACAGTGGTTATTTTACAAGGTAATAAAAAAATTAAATTGTGTTAAAATAACAGTATCATATCATGTGAAGAAAATATGACATAAATTAACAACATGAGAAAAATAAAGACCTAAGAAGGTCACTTATTGCTTTTAAATTGCTGCTTTTTAAGCACATAATTTTATCTAAAAGGTAAATTAAAATTCTTATGCATGTTGAAGTTAAATACTGCTGTGAACCAAGTATATAACAAGCCGTGACTGATAAATTAAAGATCTTATGTCTTGTGAAATGACACTTGCCAAGTCACAGAACTGAAAAGTGCTGATAGTATAATGAAACATAACATGGATCAGTTGTGAAAAATGGAAAAAAATACTACATATATTTTTAACATCAAAATAACAAGAATATGTACAGCTTTTAAATCTCTCACTAACTGTAAGTTATGTAAAGTTTTAATTTGAAAAATTAAAAATTTTAAGCCACTTCCAAATCACAACACCAATAAAAATTGACAATTTGCTATATATTACATTGATGAAAAACACCTCAATAGCATCCCAAAACTAAAGAATTTATAATATTAAAATTCTAGGAAAAAAGGCAGCCATGGCAATCCATAATTATTCTCCTACTTTTATTTCATTGTACTTCTGTTAATAACAATTAATCAATATTCTTATCACAGTAATCTGTTAAATGCCATTGCTTATGCCTTGCAAGTATTCACCCACCGCAAGATTAGCATGAGTACACAAGATTATGGTAGCTAGTTTATCTGTTTTAAACTATATTTGGATTCCAACAAGGAGCTCAGGTAGTTATTTAAAATGGTGCTGAGATGATGCACAAGGAAGAAGGGAAGGTATGCAACAATGTTTTGACATCCACCTTAATACTTTTTTCAAGATCTTCTTGCATGTAATATTATATCTTCAAGACTTAGAAACGTTTTCCAAAAGCTGCTCATTCCTTTCAGATAATAAACTAATAATAACAGCAACTATTGTGTCAACCAGAAAGTAGTGTTGCACCTTTATGATAAATACAAATGAAGCAGTATAAAAACATAAAGCAAGGTGCTATTTAAACTCCAGGCTGTTGAAAGAATTCTGAAGTGACCTGAAGAGACAAAACTTCGAGGGGGAAAAAGTTTACAGAATATGGAGAGTGACACAAAACATCCCAGCCAGTAAGTCTGTCTGGCATCCATTGAAATGTGGGATTGAGCATTATCATGATGGAAAACAGTACCTCAATGACTGATCAGTTTTGGGTACTTTGCTTTAATTTCTGCTTTTAAAACTGACATTTGGGTATAATATTTTTTTTAATTTAATTATCTGATTTGGTAGCAACAGTTCAGAATATACAATTTCTTATAACCCTACTAAACATAAAGCTTTTTTTTTTCCTTCAGATTCAGACCCACTCTCAATGTTACTAAAGTAGGTTCTCTTGGCTTAACCCATGATCTTTTCCTAGTAACATTACTGCCAAGTACAGTCGAAAGTCGTTAATTCGGACCTCAAAGCTACAAACTTTCTGCGCATGCGCCGTGTTGACGAAGTTTGTAAGACCTTTACGGCCGCGAATATGCGTGTGCGCATTCGCAAAATACGTTTACAAATGCACATTTAATGTATAACGAACAGTATAAGCTAAGCTAAAATTATCTAATTCAGTTAATGTTACAGATTGCGTTGTTCCTTAATCTTCGAATTGGATTTGGCTTATTATTTTTTGCAGACTGTTAGAGCAATTTTATAAAAGTAAGCTTGAACTTTCGATTATGTCAAATAGAATTTCTGATATATATTTACTAATATGTAAAGGATCTACAAAGTGAAAGTATGTTTCAAAGTCCATTAAACAAAAAGTGGAATTGCTGCAAAAAATGGATAAAGGCATATCCTTCATTTCTCTACCCATTCCGAAATCTGTTTATCAATTTCACGCTGCTCTGCAACAGAGGACGCCGCACAATGAATTGAAAGTTGATCTGTCAGCACTATCCTTATCTTCAGGGCAGATGTTTTTATTTTATTTGGCTTATAATTCCTTACTAAATGTAGTATTTCATCTCGATGTACTCCATCTTTGATATGATTTAAATCAAATTCCTCGTCATTATAATTCGCTTCCGATAGTGAAGAAAGTGACCCAGAGGTTATTGAAAACGAAAACATTTCGATTGACAAATTAGTCGGTATTTTCAACACAGCAATTATAGGACTTGAACAGCAGAACTTTGTAACTAAACAAGAAATTATGTCTGTTTAATAGAATTAAAGAGAAAGTATTATCACATGAAACGAAGCAACTTACATTGAAGAAAATGTTTAATAAACAAATAAATATTAAGCTTTTTGTAAATTTTGATACCCTTTAGATCATAATTGTTCTTTATTTCATAAATTACGTTCCATATTTTTAATTTTATAATTTCTGCAAGCCATTTTACCAGATTTAAACTGATGATCTATAATCCGGAAAAATCGATAATCCGGAATCGCCGAAGTCCCGACGAGTCCGGATTAACGACTTTTGACTGTATCTGTTTCTCATCTCCAGAAATGAGCAATTTAAAAAAAAAAAAAAAAAAAAAAAAAAAAGCTTCTTTAATTCTTTTCAGCAAAGAATTACATGCTAAAACTTAAGCAGGGATATTCTGCCTTACTAAAGTACGGGTATTCATATACATCATAGCAGCTTGCATATCCAGGCTTCTTGAAATGATCAAATACTTTACTTTTTGGAATAATTAGTCTGTCCAATGTTTTCTGAACTGTATAACTTGGATTTTCAAAAACATTTTCATTTCCAGAAGATGATCATCCAGGGTGGGCATCATCTTCAAAGCTGAAATTTCTATACTTTTTGAACCATCTTCAAATTATGTCAAGAACAGCATTCTGTCCATACATAGCACAAGTTTTAGAAATAGTCTGACTAACATATTTTCCTATGAAAATGAACTCTAGAGTTTGCTATTGGCATTGCAATGAAATAAAAAGTATGCCATAACACACATTACGATTACGCAACATGAGCAGAAATGACTGTATTTAAACATCCACTTCAATCATAGTCACTACTTATCACAGTAACAAAATAATTAGAAAACACCCTTCGATTTGAAAAACCAGCTGAACTTTCCGGATGACAAAATCAATAATCTTCCAGCCAGTTTTCTTGTGGAAAGAAATTAACATCGGATTGGGCTTCATATCCAATGAATAAAATGACTTTCTGAAACAGATACAGCAACTTTGTCTTTACGTTATACAGTAAAATTCCAATAATCCGAGGATGAATGAATGCTTAATCTACAAATGCTTGTAATCTATGTAAAAATTTTAGTATAAACAAAATTTTGATTTTCAGAAAATTCAGCATCTCAAATTAATAGCAGTTTCTTGCATGAAAATAAACATTTTAAGAAAAATACACTAAATTGATAGCAAAATTTTATTAAAAAAGTAAATTTATTTCATTATTAAAATTGCTCAGCCTTTTCTGCACCTAATTCTGCACTCTCTTTTTTCAGTAAACAAAAGCTATAAATATCTATACATTAGATAATTTCCTAGATTTCAATATATACTGAAGAGCAAAAAAACTGATACAAATGAGCCCAGTGTATATATAAAATGATAAACAAGTGTGGAAGCTTCTAGAACTGCTTCTTTCATCAGAATGTCAAAGTGTTGCAAATTGTACCAAGTATGTTCTAATCATTGAGGCTTATGCGATGGATCATAGTATTCCATAAGCAGATACAAACTAATAATTTTCCCATGTGGTCATTTAAAAAACTGCACAGTGACAACCAGAGTTCTAATAAAACTCATAATTTGTGACAAATATGTAGCAATAAAAAGGATTCTGGATGAATGTGATCAGCATTAACTAGCAATTAGTCAATGTTTGTCATGTTAGTTTAAAAAAAATTCTATTACACAATAGAGATATATTTCCTAAACTAATATCGAACTTTAGTCCATCAGCATGGGAAACGTGGAAGGTTCTCTTTATAATATAGGATTCTGAAATAAACACCTAACAACAGCACGTATAATAAATGCATGACACAGAGCTATGCAGTTGACCAGGGATCAGCAATTTTGACATATGATGCCTCATGAGTGGAGATACCCAGGTTTGATCAGTCATATTTTGAAGTATTTGGGGCAGATGAATGATTTGTATGTGATAAATATTTAATAATTCCATGGATCCTTTATGTCAACAGAAGATTGTAGGCTGTAGTTGCTCCATTATGGTATAGAGTTTATCTAGCTGGTATTCAGTAAGACCCCATAACATCTACAAATGTTTCTGACAGGTGGCAATTGCATATGTTTTTAAACAAGTTAAACCTATTCAAGCCTGGCATGAATTATGATATAACATCATACTTCTATAATAACTGACACTGCAGATTTCCTGTCAGAAGGTACTTTTTGTGGTAGATAATTAAGTACATTGGCAGAGAAAGGGAGAAGAATTAAAAACAAAAAACATTGTAAAAAAAAAAAAAAAAAAAAAAAAAAGAGAGAGAGAGAGAGAGAGAATGAAGAAAAAAGAAATTTTCTTTTAATAAATTAAAAAAATTTATCTTTAATACTTAACAGTTGCACAACTAGATTAACAACACAAGTTATTAATCCAGTTGTGCATGTATAAAATGTAATGGTAGAATTACAGTACGAATAAAATCTCTATTTAGAATTTCTGTCAATAGAGATTTTATTTATTTATTTATTGTTTAAAAACATAAACATTACTTTGAAAAAGATATCACTGGTGGATATGGAACTTTTTCAAAATAAAATTCACAATTTTTTTTTTTTTTATTGTATCAGCATTATTTTCCTTTTCGACAATTATACGAGGGATGTTTTTTTAAGTAGGGGCTGTTTAAAAAGAAAAACCAAACGAAAGAAAATTTTAAAAAAACCAAATTTATTTGCAGATTTTACATATGTTTCTCTATTTTCAACACAGTTGCCAAGTTTGTTTAAACACTTATCATACCTTAGAACTAGATTTTGAATATCCTTTTCATAGAAGCTTGCCACCTGCTCTAATAACCAAGAGGTTATGAGGGTGTTTTCACATCCTAGACTACACTTCAGGAAATTTGTTTGAAAGAACGCTTATGGTGAAACGTCTGTTCCCAATAATTTTTGCTTTAACTGAAGCTACCATATCGTCTGTGATCACAGATGGCGAACGGAGCAGGACTCATCATGGACATTGTCATGGCCAGCTTTGAAGTCTCTGACCCACTTACGCACTTTGCCGTCACTTACGGCAGTAGCTCCGTAAACTGCACAAATCTGCCAGTGAATGTCTGCAGTAGACAGGTTTCTTGCTGACAAAAAACATATTGTAGACTGTACCCTGAACGGGGCAAAAGATTTGACAATCTTGAACATTTTAAAAGCACAAAACAGATTGTACAGGTTACCTACACAGCTGCAACTGAGCATGGTTGTTTCCAAGGGATACTGGGACATGACGCAAGCACTTGTTGCCACCCATGCGACACGTATAAGTGTATACATCACAACCCCCTTACTTTAAAAAGACGCTACATATTAAAAAAATATAAAAGTTTTGTGTACAATAAATTTTCATTAAATAATTTTTCAGGTACGAGTTTGTTTTTATTTGATTAATCATGCAACACATAATCTATTTAACATGCATATTAGAAAGGAAGAAATATAAGCAAAACTCAGAAAGACATGATTTATAATTTGCAAAATTCACTGATCTACACAATCCTTGGTTCTCAAGTGCATAAATTATCAGAATTTTATTGCATATACTGTTATCAACAAGTGATGACAAACAGTGGTATTGTATTATTTGGTTTAATCAGTTTCATTTGAGAACCCTCAGACCATCAAAAATATAAATAATTAAATCACAAATTGATATTTACAACTATTCATTTGCACAGAATTTTAGAATAACTTGAGGAAATATAGGAAGAAAAGGTGACTGACTTATTCACTATGCATAGCTTATGGCACAAGGAAAGCAAGAGAAATTATAGGTTAATTTCACACAACATAATTTCTATTATTATAAATTTATGCATTGACAAAAAATATCAACTTACTTTCTGTAACCAAACATGCAAAAATTGGATGCCTCTTCAAAAGTGTTAAGATAGAGTCCTTACAGATTTTTTTTTGCTTCTCTGGAATTGAAATATATTTAAGAAACACAGAGTTTACAGAATTTGGTGATAAAAGAAGAAAATCTTCTTGTTCAATGTATAATTTCAGAAGATATAATAGAACAGAAAATGTTGAATCCATTTTTTGTATAATGACATCATCCAAACTCAATACATGTTCTAGAATGATAACAACATCCTCAATAGAAAATACATTAGAAAAAATTCCAATGATAATCTTAATGTCACATTCTTTAGCAATAAAAAATTTCGTATTGTTTTCAGTATTAAACACAGAAAATATCAGGAATTTCACAATTTTCTTTTTGTATGCAACAATATATGAAAAACTTTCCTTTCCATAAGAACGCACAAGTCTTTCAACAATATTTAATACAAGTTTTGTTATTGCAATAATGCACTTTTTCAGAACAGAGTTATTATTTTTCTTTAAATCACTTTTCAGAAACAATTTTAATATCATAGGATGATTTAAAATTTCCTTAGCAATTTCTAGTTTTTCACTTTCAATTTTTTTATCACTGTCAGTAATTTTCTTAGATAATTCATCGCAGATAACTTCATCAGTTTCCTTCCCAAATTCTTTCACATAATCCCAAAGTTTTTCAAGTAAAGAGATATAATTTGTAAGTTCAGTCTTTTGATCATTTTCTTCCTATAGTACAAGAAGATACACATTAATATAATGGCATTCAATATATTTAGACATGCAAAATTTGAAAAGAACTAAGAATCCATTCAGCACCTTATTTAAGAACTACAATAAAAATGTGAAAGCATATATGCTGAAATTAAATTTATAATGAAAAAGAATAATTATAAAATAATACATAATTACTGCTGGTATGGAAAAAGTATAGAACAAAACAGTCATGTACTAAACATTCCGGAATGGACACAGAATTTTTCTTATATAGAAGTGCAGTTGTAAAAGTATGGTAGGCATGGATAATATTGATGGCAAACCATCTTTGGATGATTAGTACACAATTTAATTTTGTACCCTGCAATAAATAGTGCTGACCAGACTGCCACTGTATAAGTTATATAATTTTTTTTAAGTGAGTGTTATGAAGAGGATTTTCTGTAATTGTGAACTTTAGCCAAATTTGGTACCTCGGAATTGCCTAAGTCTGTATGCAATTCTTGGCTGGTATCCTGGTAATACTGAGTCTCTCATGTCAGTCCAAGATACTTAAGTGTCTTGGTGATTTAAATTCTATGTCCCTTCATTTCTAATTTGGGCTTACTTGTGAGTTTGGGGCCAATTTTAGGGATCATAAAAGCAGTGGATTTTGTTTTAGAGATGTGAAACTTAATTCAGCTGACTAACCATAGAAGAGCTCATCTGTTTCATTGATACATTATGTCAATTTGTCTCTGGTTCTTCCCTATAATTATGAATGCCATATCATCATTGTAGGCAATAACTGAGATAACTGAGATATGACTAGGTGGTTCTGCATTGATGATGATGTTGAAAGTGAAGTTTCAAAAGATTTTAGTTCAAGAAACTTGTGGCAACCTCTATCCTGCATTCCGCTCATGGGAGGCCATTGTCAAGTATCATTAGGTGTAGTCTGTTATTCAGGTAATTTTCTACAATGAAACAAATGCTGCTGAAGCATTTCGTGTCTCACATAGCATACGGAATAGCATCAACCTCCAGAGTGTAGGATGAACAAATAAGAGGTAAATGGGACAGTAGTAGTTCATAGATTTTTATCACCATTAAGAAATAGAAAACTTGACTTATTTTAAAGATATTGTGGAAGATTTTATACTGCAGTAGCTAATTAAAGAATTTCTGAAATGGCTGATATCTGCTATGGCTGGATATTTTGATTCTGGCCAATTCTATCTATGCCTAGAACTTTTTTCTTCTGACAGTTGCTGGACGCCACTGCGTATTTTTTCTGCTTTGAATGGCAAATCATCTGACATTGTTGGATTGGTGATGCCCATCTGAATAGAATACTGGAATTGTGTGTCCAAGGAATACTGCACCTAATACTGCAGTAAGCCTGTGTTCTGAACTGCTATCTGTTGTTTATCCGATGTTGCAGGTGAAAGCAGCACGGTCAATATATTCTATTCATCACTATCTTGCACAATATACCATGTGCTTCTGTGATCTGAATACAAAAATCTTTCCAGATTTACTGCTTAGCTGTTACAAACAATGTTTATAAATAATTATATGTTACTTTTACAGCTGCAATACACTACATACAAACATATATACATACAGAATAAAACAAAATACATTATTTTTACAACTGGAACTTAGTATCCAATGACTTTAACTCAATCTGATTACAAAGAAGTGAAAAGAGAAGTGTAGCATTGGCTAAATGAATAGGTTGAAACTTTCTGTGGAGGGAGATCTGAAAACTGATATAACTCTTATAAGGCAAACATCTAAATAATAACAGGAATTATACTTGTTACGAGTTTGAAATATTTCTTTCTTTGAACTTTTGTGGCAACACTGCGCAAGCGCGAGTGGAGATCGTCTAGGCAACGAGGAAGAGAATTTCACTCTCGACCTACGCAGCCATTAAGCAACGATACTTCTGTTCTCAGTACGAAACAATGTAACTGTAATTTCTGCAATTGTAAATAGTTCTGTTCAGTAAAGTTTGTGTTGTAAACTAATTTACAGTCTACTAATTCGACGGATACACATAACAATACTGAAAACAGTCAAGTCAAGAAAATGTTTTGTTAAAATGTTGTTTGGTTCACCTGTCCTTTCCATGAAATGTAACTTTATTTTGGAATATGTAACTTATATGCAATAAGACATGAGAGAAAACAAAACCAAATACTTACAATAATGCTTATTTCAAAATTAATGTAAGTCAGAGTTTGCCAAATGACTTTTCTCACATAAGCAATATCCAAGTTCTGAGGTAAATGCTTTATAACACATAAGCAAGGTTTGGAACATTTTTCTAAGGCATGAGTACAAATAAATTTATATTTTAGATGATCACTCAAGTCTGATTCACACATGGAAGATTCACTAGGATAAAATTTACCTTCTTTACTCTGAAAGGAATAAAATGAGGCAAATTAAAATACTGTTTAATAAATATTTATGAAATATATATAAAAAATTGTACACAAGTTTATCTGTAATAAACTATAATTCAGACTTTGTATAACACAATTAAAATTAAATAAATAAATGATAAATATAATTGCTCTAAAATAATTTAAATTATTGAAACTTACATGAAAACAAAAAATGTGAAGTCTTCAATACAAAATCAGATATTAAAAAATATGGAAGTAAATGAAAGAAAGTCAAGAATAATTGCAACGTTCACTAGAACACAACATATTTACAACGTAATTACAAAATATTTACATCTGATCTTGTCAAAAGCCATTGATCTTAATGGTAAGACACTGAATGTTTTGTCACCACGAAGGGATCACAAGCGCTTCAAAGCAGTGTACAGAGGAAACCAGTTAGGGCCTCTCCTTCTTACTTCCTACCTCCATGCTCGCCATAGTGGGGAGGATGGTGGAAAAGGTTAATCGGAGTACTAAAGAGAATTCTTCAAGAGGTACTCAAAATCTTCTTTGAATTACGAAGAGTTGTTGATAATCATTCATGACTGTCAGGGCATTATGAACAACCAGCCTCTCACGCATTTGTTAGAAGACGTAAAAGACTTGTGAGCTCTCACCCGAGCAATGTTTCTTACAGAAATTCCAGAAATTGGAGTTCTTGAATTAGATCTTTTGAATTCTAAATCCATTAATAAGAGATATCTTCCCAAAGGCAAATTGCAAAATGACTTATGAAAAAGATTTTGAGCAGAGTATTTACGGCAACTAAAACAAATCTTAAAATTCATCAGCAAACCATTGTCTGTAAAAGCTGGTGATCTTGTCATCGTGTCCAACAATGAAAAAAGGATAACCTGGCCCTTAGCTAGAATCCTGGAAATTTGACCATCTCATGATGGGTATATTAGATTACTGAAACTGAAAACTGCACAAGGGGAGATTATAAGACTCACTAAGAACCTCATACCTCTTGAGTTCAATTTTACACCTGAGTCGGATATAAAAGTGAGGTACAGAACTTGACATATGACGAAATCTCAAAAGACTTGAACTATGGAACACAGAGATTATAAGACCCACTAAGAACATCATATCTCTTGAACTCAACTTTACAAATGAGTGGGATATGAAAGTGTGATACAGAACTCGACTTATGATGAAATCTTAAAAGACTTGAACTATAGGTCAGTTGAGGCCCATTTTCTGCTGATATTGACCTCAAGGTGGGAGTGTCGTATTTGTTTACTAATAATTCAGCTCCCAAGAGACAAAAAGTAGTTACTTGAACGGGTGATATATCTAAACTTAGTCGAAATGATAGACAGTCTCCATAAATATTTGAAGCACAGTATTTGCATTAAATACCTTGTAAATATTATGTAAATATTTTTCATATGTTAATAATGAATTTCTGAAAAAAAAAAAACATTCATAATAGTGTTCGGCAGAGATAAAAATTTCAGGATACAGCTACAGATATCGAAAGGATAAGCAGCCAGTTCAGGGCAGCCCTTTAGAAGGTAAGTGAATTTTCACTTATCTATTTAGTGATCTAAAATTTTAATATGTAAAGGTTGATAAAATTTTAACAGTACTGTTGCTTCTAAATAACAAGAAAAGTTCCTATAAAAATAAGTTCTATTCTTTAGATTCAAGGAAACATGTTACAGTTAATTTTTATAAAAGAAAGACATGTGTATGAGACTTGTAAAATACTTCATTGTTCATAGTTCTCTTTCTTACCATATCAAATGTAAAAAAAAAGGCGGGGAAGGTAGCCTATAAAGTTTATATTATAAAATACAGCCACACCTCTGAAAAATATAATGCTCAACATGGAAGCATAAATCAGTTGCCAAAAACACATGATGAAAAAATGAAATAAAGGATTTTCAAGTAAGCAATCAGAGCTTCCTACAGCTACTACAGCTTTCAGAAAAGTATTTCTCTGATGTCATTTTTTACAAATTTATTCCAGCATATTTTGTGCAAACAGAAATTAAATATTTTTTACTAAAAACTAAAAACTTTTTCTCAATATATAATTGCTCAGTGTTCTTCTATAAAATCACACAAATGATATGATTAAGGAAAAAAAAAATATTATTTTGACTGAATAAATCTTATAACTTCCTATAATGTATTTTTCAAATATCAGAAATTTGATATGACATTGATGCTGAAGCATATTTACCTGTTTTATATGTTTGGAAGAACAAAGCAGCTCCCAGTAAGCATATACACCTGGACTGATTGCAGAATTATATTTATTTACAATTTCCAGAAGTAACTTTGGCTTGTGTTGCCGATGCAATATGTGTGTAAGACTTCTTTCGACAAATAACTGACAACCTGCAGGAAGATGAGAATTAAATGGAATGTTTTAAAAATTACAGATTTTGACCCAATTTCTAAAACAAAATTATCTTAATGCTATAAATACTTTAGGCTGATTTTAATGGGCTTTTCATACAAGTAAATTCATCATAAAGTGTCTAAAACTAAATTCAGATTTAAAACCAAAATAATTTATACAGTCAAAAGTTGTTAATCCGGACTCGTCGGGACTTCGGCGATTCAGGATTATCGATTTTTCCAGATTATAGATCATCAGTTTAAATCTGGTAGGATGGCATGCAGAAATTACAAAATTAAAAATATGGAACCGTAATTTATGAAATAAAGAACAATTATGATCTAAAGGGTATCAAAATTTACAAAAAGAAAAAGCTTAATATTTATTTGTTTACATTTCTTTCAATGTAAGTTGTTTAAGTTGCTTCGTTTAATGTGACAATACTTTCTCTTTAATTCTATTAAACAGACATAATTTCTTGTTTAGTTACAAAGTTCCGCTGTTCAAGTCCTATAATTGCTGTGTCGAGAATACCGACTAATTTGTCAAACAAAATTTTTTCGTTTTCAATAACCTATGTGTCACTTTCTTCACTATCGGAAGCGAATTATAATGACGAGGAACTTGATTTAAATCATATCAAAGGCGGAGTACATCGAGATGAAATACTGCATTTAGTAATGAATTATAAGCCAAATAAAATAAAAACATCTGCCCTGAAGATAAGGATAGTGCTGACAGATCAACTTCCAATTCATTGTGCGCCGCGCTCTGTTTGATGCAGTTAGTGCCATAGCTTCGTGTACAGTTCCAGGGGTTGTAACACAGTTAATATACTTTAAAGTTCCAATAAGCCATTAAAGCACCAGAGGTGATAAGTCGTTTTGTATTATTTAAGTTTCAGTAGATGCATAGAATATGTTTTACATGAATTTTTATATTTTATCTTGTGACCACAGTGAGTATTAATGAAAGGCAATAACTCGCTTTAATATGTAGAGATTATTTTTAAGGTTAAGCAGTTAGTTATAAATAATTAAATTAAGTAGTTTGATAATTTTGTTAAAAAAGCCCTATTAAAATCAAAATCTAATAAAATTTCACAGTTTAAAATACATGTAATTTATGACAGAGATTCTTAAACGATATTAAGATAATTACACATTAAAAGATACAAAACATTTATGTTTTGTAACAACAACAGTCAACAAAATTATCCATCATTTTATTTTGAAGCCTTCCCAGACATTTTGGCTAGTTTATATTGATTTCCTTCTCTTTTAAGCATCTTTTCTAACAATTAGAGATTTGTCTCAATATGCAAACTAATGCTCTCGCTAGTTTCTGCATTCTTTATATCCTAACTTGTCAACCTCTCCACAATATACCTATGATGGTTTACTGATCTGGCAAAACGTTAAACAGTCCCAAACCCCCGACAGACGTAAAGAATATTATCGCTATGTCTGAAATTAACTACAATATCAGACAAAGGTTCAAATAAGCCTCTTATTTAAAAAGAACTTGGAACATAAAGGCATGTTCTGATGCTAACAAAATCATTTACAGCTCACGGTGACGTAATTAAACAAGAACAGTCAAATTCAAACTAAGACTATACAAATTAATTTTAATTTAATCTGGCTCAATAACTCTATCATATGAGGAAATAGAAACGGGAAATTATAGTAAAAGTTGAAATCATAAACAATTGGGTAATTTACAAAATAACTGCACATATCTTTGAAGAATAATTTCCTTTATGTATTCAGTTTCTTTCTTCAACACGTTTCCTTTTCATTTCAGAATTTTTGGATTTAATTAAGGATTTCTATTATTCTAAAAAACACTAAATGCATTTAGAGTGTACAGAAAATGCAGCTAATTTTATTTCTTTAGTAATATGAACATTCAGAAGCAATATGAAATAGATATAGTAAAGCCGGCTACTAGAGCTGATGAGGCAGAATTTCTAGAATTTAGTGACACACTGAACAACAAAATCTAGAAAAGGCAAAACTTTTAGAATTTAGAGCAAGCATTGGGAGCAGAATTTAGAAAGGCACTAGGCAGCAGAATTTAGGATCCACAGAAATTGCATCAGGTGGGAAAATGCCTAATGCCAGCTATGTGTATAATGCATTAAGAAATATTAGATGAAGCTTTTAAATTGCAAGTTTTCAATTTCTTTAATAATAAAAAATCTCTTTCTATAATGCCTGCCCATGTGATGAAATCAGAAGAATTTTTGATATTTTCCATGCTTCTCTCTAGTGAAAAGTACAGAAAATAAAGAGAAGATAAACATGTTAAGATTCTAGTATCAGAAGTAAAACATTCAAGTATTTTGTTTTCATTGTTCTTCCAAATGTTCTCCAAAAATTAAGAAATTCATTGCAAACTTTCTGTAATATACATCCATTATGTGTTGATACCAAGGAGACATTTTTCATTTTGTCACATCTTTCACGAATCTTCTAGAATTGTGGGTCTATAAATTTTTGCCTTCCAATCCTTCTAAACTTTCCAAGCTGCAATGTCTAAAATCCTAAAGAAAAATTATTCCTATCATTTCTGTAACAGCAAAAAGCCAAAAATATTTTTTTGGGGGGGGGAAAGGAGGAAAAAGTATAAAATTAATTTTATAGCGAAAACTGATGCACATTCTGAGAATTTTGAATATTCTGAGACAATTACATGGGAAAAACTCTTACTATGAAAAAATTAAAAACAAGACATTTTTAATTAATTACATAGCTAATTTTGCTTTTGCTAAAAGCTGTTTTGTAAATTGTGCTTTATAGCATTGTATCTAGTTTATTTTTCAGATTTAAAATATTGTATAAGTTGCTAAAATGAAACTTTATAATATGACAGCGAAGAATAAAAATGTTTTATTTTAATGTTATTTTTTAAATGTAATTTCAATATATTACCATTATTTTAATGAAGTTTATTAATGTTACAATGTTTTAAAAAAAATCATTGAAAAATACTCAAATCTCGGAATTAAAAGGTTTCTATAGAAACTAATCTTAAAATCGCCAAAATGTTGAAAAGTTGCCAAATTGAGAACTGTTTAATAAAAGAATTCAGATCCTCCAAAAGCGAAAAGTTGTTTAAGAGCTCTTTACCAGAAAAAAATGAATTTTGAAATGTTTCACTTCTTGCATAGTAATTCGAGTATCCCATCATTTACATTAGAAATAGAAACAAATTATAACCCATTAACCCATTCAAAAGATAACCATATATATGGCAGTGAATCATAAAAATATTTCTCAAAATGCTAATTCACACTCAAAATGACAGTCGTAAAAACAGACAATTTCAAAAATCAGATGATTAAAATTAAGGACTTTCTGCTGATTTTGGCCAAAATTAAGGACTTTTAAGAACCAAAAATCAAATCCAAAAAATCTAAGGACTCTTAAGGACTGTACGAACCCTGCATTAGTAAACAGAACTAGGCTCATTATGCAGCATTATGCATTATGCAGCGTGAGCTAGTGGCATACAAATAATCATGGGTTTCCTAATAGCTATTTCCATATTTTCAAACAATCATTGCTAAATAATGATCCCAATAGTCTGCTGTGGCATATTTTTTTAATCTTGTCCTGGTAGGTTTTAAATCTGTCTGTATATCTCGCCATGTCTAACCATTTTCAAATTCTTGATGTGATGCATATGAACACGAGCAGCTGAGGAGTAAAACTTCAAATTCCAGTGAACAAGATGGCTGTATGGTTTTTTTCATGGTTTTCCCATATATAGCTTGAATACAAGGTCAGTTTCCCTAAAAAATCCACCATATCATAATGGCATAACTTCCTTTTGGCAGAAAGCTCTATATATTTTGATATATTTAAGTACTAGTATTTTGACATATTCAACTTAAGCAACACATATATCCAAACAATTAAATCAGAGATGCAAAGGATATCAAAATTAATACAGAAACTTTAAAAAACCTTTTTTCTTGTGGTCTTCCAAAGATGGAAATGCAGCAAGAACAGCAGGGACTAAGCAGCTAAAATACTGCCTGAAAAGAAAGTTCCTTCATTATTGAATAAACAAATAGAGTGCACTGCAATAATCAGTGGCATTTATAACATTTGTAATAATTTCAATTGTTTAAATAAATTAAGATCTAATGTATTTTAATCCATGATAAACAAAATGATAAACTTTGCCAAATACATAGTGCATATTTCAAACAAAAGATTTGCAAATAAAAACTTTTAAACAGAAATATACATTCAAGCAAATAAGTATTAAAATTTCAAAACACCTGGAAAGATGCTTGACAAATATTTATAAAATTCTTAATTATTTACAGTTTTAAAAAAAAAGGAAAAAAAAAATTATACAATTATAAAATGTGCTAAAAAAGGGGAAAAAATCTGAAAAGGTTTAGATTTTAATGGTTTCCCAAAAGGGCTCTTTTAATGTTTAATATGATTTATCAGTACAGATTAGCAACAGAAATGGCCCAGGTGGAATGATGCAAAACATCCTTTAAAAAACTAGATGAATATTTTTTTAGGCTAACATGGGAAAAATATATAGCATCTGTATATTTGAAAAGTGAAAAAATATACAATATAATTCTATAAAAATATTTAATTTAAAATTTTTAATTAGGCATGTCATGAATTAAATGCATTTGTATTTAATTCAATCAGATTAAAAAGGAAAAAAATAATATTCTTCACAGCTGCATCTGTGGTATGGTTCTTATATAGTTTGCTAATTTATAAGACAAATTCAATTTAAAACATAAATATCTTACATTTTCTGAATGACAACAGATTCGAATGAAAACTGAAACAATGTATTTATGATCGACAACATGTAAAATGAATCAACTTAAAATCGTGTTTCATGACTGATGGTCCTTTTGGGCTAATAAGTTACACATTACTGAAGAAAATGTCAGCACAACAAGAATAATTTTAAAAAATTTCAAATCTAATATTTGCTTTTTGTTACATATCCCAAACTGCCATATAATATAAAATGAAACAATACATTATTTGTAGGATGACTTGAGATTACAAAATCGTCAAATTTATAAATTTGTAATTCATTAAAAAAACATTTAAACATCTAACAGATATTAAGAATACTCCAAAGAAGAAAATTCTGCTTGGTGCAAAAGTTATAAAAATATTAACACATTACAAAGAAAAACACTTTTATCTGATTACTACTTTCATAATTCTTTTACTAGAAGAGTAAAAACATTCACTCTTACACATTTGACTTAAGATGATCTCACAGCTAATATATAATATAATTGGAATATTTATAAAACCAAATTTTTTTAAAATTCTAAAGTTTCTGCAGTTCATGCCAGTGCCAAATTTATATATATATATGTAATAAAAACGAAGTCAGAAGTAACTGAAGAGCAGAATTGTAATAGATTCAAACTCAGAAGCAATGACCAGGAAAATAGAGGCGAAGGCAGATTAAATCTTCAGTTTTATTTTCCGCAACATGTTACATTGACATGACACACAAGTCAGCACACTGAATGTGACTGTTCCAAAAAATTTACATTTTTTGATAACTTTGTAGCAAAAAGAAGAAGCAGACAGACTGCAGTCTAGCTAAGGCAAAGCGTAGAAAGAAAGTGCATTACGTTCAAGATGAAATCTCAAGTTAAACTGAGTTAGTTTTGGTTCTCAAAGCATTTTGATTGGATAGTTAATATTGCTCTAAAATTACTATTGGCTGCTCGAGTTTTAATTCAATTTACAGCACCAGAATTATGTAAGAGTCATATGACATAGAGTTTTCTCGAAATGATGCAGTGCAAATAGATATTGCTATTTTTAGAATAGAGAAGGGAAATTAATTTATGTTGCTAATTTAATCTTTAATATATTCTTTATTTTTCTTACATACGAGGGCCATCCAGGAAGTAGATTACGTTTCCGTCTGTGTCCGCTAGGGGCGGGGCTAGCGCGGCCATCTTGGGGTCAGAGCGTTGCGCAGCTCAGTCTGCATCTAGCCGTGCTAGTGAGAGGTTCGTGCTGTGCTCCGTTCAGATACTGTGACGGTTTGAAATGTCTGCGTTAATTGAAAATCCCGCGAGCTGCGAGGTGCGCTCAGTAATAAGGTTTCTGACTGCAAAAAACTGTAAACCGATAGAAATCTATCGGCAGCTTCGTGAAGTGTATGGGGACAACATTATCACTGAAGGTGGAGTGCGTCAGTGGGTCATAAGATTTCAAAATGGCCGAACCAATGTTCACGACGAAGATCGAAGTGGGAGACCCAGCATAGTGACCGCCGAACTTCTCGAAAAAGTCGATGCTAAAGTCCGTGAAAATCGAAATTTCACAATAACGGAACTTTTTTTTGAGTTTTCCACAAATTTCGCGAAGTTTGTTGCACGAAATCATCAGCGAAAAGCTTGGTTACCACAAGTTTTGTGCAAGATGGATTCCCAAAAATCTTGACAGAGGACCACAAAAATCAGCGAATGGCTGCAGCGTTGAACTTTTTGGACGCTTACCATAAGGATGGTGACTCTTTACTCGATCGCATCGTTACTGGTGACGAAACATGGGTGAAACATGTGAACTGTGAAACGAAATTGCAATCAATGCAGTGGGGGCACACAAGTTCTCCCCAAAAACCCAAGAAATGCATGCAAACAATGTCGGCAAGGAAGATGATGGCGACTGTTTTTTTTGGGACAGAAAAGGTGTAATTTTGGTGGACTTCCTGGAAAGAGGCACTACAATAAAACTCTCAAAGGTATTGCCAAACTCTCCAAAAACTCAGAAGAGCAATTCAAAACAAGCGCAGAGGAATGTTGAGCTCTAAGATCTTGTTGATTCACGACAACGCCCGGCCCCACACGGCAAATGTCACTCGTAAAGTTCTTGAATCTTTTAAGTGGGAGTTGTTTCCTCATCCGCCGTACAGTCCCGACCTGGCACCGAGCGACTTCCACCTATTCCCAGCAATGAAGAAGTGGCTGGCTATGCAGCGTTTTGATGACGACGCACAGCTGCAAGAAGAGGTAACGAAGTGGTTGAAGGCGCAGGCGGCCGAATTTTTCGACGAAGGAATTTCCAAGCTCGTACATCGCTACAATAAATGCCTTAATTTGTATGGTGACTATGTAGAAAAGTAGTATTTGAGTGTGGCTTTCATCTGTATATAATAAAATTTGTTTCCTATACTTTGTTTATTTTTTTTATTCCAAAACGTAATCTACTTTCTGGATAGCTCTCGTATATACACTCAAGAGCCAAAACATTATGACCACCTGTCAATAAAGAGTTGTGTCACCTTTAGCGCGCAGCACAGCTTCAACCGGCCTTGGCATGGATGCCACAAGTCCTTGATAGATGGCCGGAGACAGATTGTACCACATGTTGTAGCAACGGATACACAAATCCGACATATTGCGAATTGGTGGTCTTGACCTCTGAGCTGCCGTTCCATGACATCCCAAATATGTTCTATCGGATTGAGATCCGGTGAGAACTGGAAATCAGTATCATGTTCCTGGAACCACTCCAACACAATTGTAGCCTTGTGACACGGGGCGTTGTCCTGTTGGAACATTCCATTTCCAGCTGGAAAAACAGAGGCCATGTAAGGGTGCAACTGATCCGCAATGATGTTCAGATACCCTGTAGCATTCATGGTCTGCTCTACCATAACCATGAGTCCCAGAGACGCCCAAGAGAACGTCCCCCAGTGCATAATACCGCCACCTCCGGCATGTGCATGACCTACTGTGCATTGAGGGAGCAACTGCTCGCCTGGAAGACGGCGTATCCTGACACGGCAATCGGCGGATGAATGACAAACCGTGATTCATCTGACCAGGCAACTCTCTCCTACTGATCCATGGACCAGTCGCGATGTTCCCAGGCCCAGCGCAGGTGCAGTTGGCAATGACGCTTGGTCAGCAAAGGCACATGAGTGGGATGTTTGCTGCGTAGCCCCCATATCCAACAGTGTCCGCTGAACAGTGTGCTCCGATACTTTTCTACTTGGCCCTTCATTGTATTCGGCTGTCAGCTGAGCCACTGTCTGGCTCCGGTTTTGCTTCACCAGCGAGACAGTCTCTGACGACCTTTTTCTTTGATAGCGTGTGGACGTCCAACACCATGTCGTCTACTGATCGCCGTCATTCATCCACTTTTCATACATACTAACAACTGTAGATTGCGAACAACCCACGAGTCGTGCAGTTTCGGAAATACTTGTTCCGAGCCTCCGAGCCATTACAATCTGCCCTCTATCAAAGTCACTTAGATCCGCAGCCTTTCCCATCACACACAGATGTAAGTGAAAGAATGGTTCTTCAGACTCTTCAGCAGCAGTTAAATACCATTTCTACCTGATCACGTGCTTTCCACGTCATCCAGGCACGTTAATCGCAAAATGTAGGGCTGATCATAATGTTTTGGCTCTTGAGTGTATATCTTTGACCATAACCAAACACATTCTTAAAATCTTTTGATATAATTAAAACTTATTTGAAAAGTAATCATTATTACTAATGTTACAAATTAAAGTTAATATCTAGTATAAAAGAAACATCTCACAATGTTTTTGATATTTGGAACAGTAGCAAGTTAACAATCAACTATACCTCAGGGAGCAAATGAAGTTTAAGAAAAAGTTTTAAAGATCACTTAAGAAACAGCCAAGTTATTCAAGTGACTGATTAAAACTTAAGGAAATCTACCAGGTGGCATTTACTTTAGACCTTGAGGAAATTCTGTGTAGGCAGGTTGTTGAAATTACATGGATTATTTTAGGTTCTCAACAAAAGCTACGATTTAATAAACTAAGTTTAATTATTAAGCTTTTTCACTTGTCTTCATAAGAATAATAGTAGCTTCTGAAAACATGAGATGCTATCCCTTAAAAATCCCTACACAAAACTAAAAAATAAAATAAATATGAAAGACATATATTTTTTAACAAGCAACATGTTTTTTACATCGAAATTATTTTCTATTTTCCACAGAACAATTAAATACTTGACATACAAAGTACAGAAAAAATAAATTTAAAAGTATTTACTCTTGATTTGCCAATATATCATCAATTTTTTCATTTACTGCAACACTGTTTCCCTGACCATCACTCAGGAGATCTAATGAAGTATATAAACTTAAATTTTCCTTCTTCAAATAAAACATAATACATAGTAAACATTTAATATAATTTTAAAAAGTAAATTTTTAAAAATTTTTATAGCATTTGTACAATCTTGTATTAACTCTTTCGCATCGAAGTCGCCAAATGCCCAAACATTCAGACATGGGCTGGACGCCCGAAACACCTGAATAATTTCCTACCCAGTGCTTTCCCCCATCACGTTACTGCAAATCACATGTCAATCATTCTTTTGAAGCTACTAAAAGTATCTTCCTTGTTTCCTTTGTTCCTTCCTTTCCTTTGTTTACTGTCAGAGCTTAGCTTTTGATGCCCGAAGTTGCAATCCTGTCCCAAGGGGAAACTTCACACAGTGTCAAAGCATCGAAGAAAGAACTTCTCGCTTTACTTAAGTAAGGCTATTATTAGCGCTGTAATATTTAACTTGTCATGGGGAAAGGAAAAGCATTCCAGGAGAAATTCTTAGATACGGGCATTTTCGATGTTTGGGGAATTGAGATTTTGCCCTCTCTCGATGCGAAAGAGTTAAATAAATACCAGAGAGATTACATAGCAAACTACTCATCCTGCACACATTCACAGACAATACTAAATTATTTTACACAGTATATGTTATTAAAACAAACATTTACATTATAAAGAAAATGGGATTGCTAAATCCATACACATCATAATAATCTACTCAAAATCAAAATTCCCGCAACAGCAAAAATACACAGAACAGGAAACTAAACACCACTCACTGTATGCATAACAAAATATATTTCGGGATTAATTAAGAATTATACTTAAGAAACTAACCCCCAAAAATTATGCTTTTCAGAATTTGAGAAACAAACATAACAAAAAACTTTGATTAATATCTATAAAGAAGCAGTTACAGAAAGGGCTCAAATGTAGCTAATTAAAATATGACTAATAAAATAGTGCTAAAAATTTAATGAACATACTTCACATAATAACTATCAATACATTATTTTTTGGACTGCAAAGTCTTAACCCAACATACAGCAAAATTTCTACAAATCCTAAAAATTTTAATATAAAAATTTACACAAAAAATAAATACCTTTGAAACATAGTAAAATATCAATTGAAAAAATTTAATAACAAATAATAAATCTCAAAACATTTCCTAAATTCCTGTGCACAAAACAGAGATTAGCTTATTTAAATACAATCAAGCACAACAGAGCACACACAACACAACATCCAAATAACAGCGAAAGAACATCAATACATATTCTTTGTAACAGCCTCTTTGTGCTCATCGGCAATATATGCCAGATAACGGGCATAGGAGCTCGATGCCCATTGGAGAACTGCAGAACAACATTTTTGGATACTTATGCTCTCACTCACAAAGCAGAAATTCTCATCTGATTTGCAAGGTTTTGTTTTAGATATAATTTAGAGAAAATTCAATTGCTTTCAGATGTCCAAAATCACTTTTTTTTTTTTTTTTTTTTTTTTTTTTTTTTTTTTTTTGTTCATATAACAAAGTATTAAGCCAAGTTGCACAAAAATAGTGAGGAATTTTAAGAATAAGAAAAAGTCGGGAGAAATATATTGTAAATTGGGTTGACAGGAGAGTGGGCGAAAATCAGGAGAGTTGGCAACTCTGCTCAGGACAGCATCCGTAGTCTCACTGACTCTGCACCTAGACGTGTTGCTTCTTGTATTTCTGTCCAAGGTGGTCCTACAACCTACTGAGATGACGCTGTTCTCACTCTGTATTTTGCACATCATTTTGAAATAAAGATCACTCATTGTTCACCGCTGTCTTTCTCTGTTTGCCGAGTTTATTCATTGTCAAGCTACTCCTTCTTGGTGTTGAATTTTCAATGTTGGGTAGTGTATATACATATCTATGTAGTATTGTAAATCTGATGATTCAAAAGCTATAATAACATATAAAGAGCACATGTCAACTATGTTTTGAATTGATCTTGGTCACTGACTTTTCAGCATATGGTTTGCATTAGCATGTAACAAAGCAACCCCTTGCTTAATTTCCTTTAGATTCCAAGGGTGACTTGGTTTGATTTATTATTTGGTTATTTTGACTTGGACACCTGAACATTTTTGATTATTTGTCAGTTCAGATCTATCTCATTTTACATTGCAGGAATTATTATGCTGTACATCTTCCTTTAAAATCTCATACAACTCTTTTATGAACTGTGCCAGGATCTGCACTAGGACCTTATGCCACAAAAGCTCTTTTTTAGATGCTATGTCTCCTTTACAATGAGTGCATTTAAAATCTATCAACACATAGCTGTTTTGCCAGTCTATTAGCTGTATTTTGAACTTCATTTCATCTCACAGCATATTAAAAAGTTAGAAACCATTTGTGCATAACATTATTTAAAGTCTGCTCACCAGGAAACCAAATTATTTTCACTTCATTTTGCTCTTATTCCACATTATATCTCAACACAGAGATTCATTAGTTCCTCTCCTCTCTTTTCTGAAAATGTCCGAGGAAATACCTTTTATGATCTATATTCTGGATATCTGCTATATATATACATATCTTAGGTTTTTTGATCAATGAAAATTTTACATGATAATTAAGTGTTCCCACCTAACAAATTTCTCAGTAACATAATGTAAAGGTTAACTTACTATTGGACATTAATTTTTTTAAAACAAATTAAAATGTATTGATCTTAATCACTACTTATTGTAAGGATGCAGTGCTGAACACATACTTTTGTTTGATTGAGTAAAAGACATCTCTGATGCCCCTTACATATAATTAGCACCTATTAAACAGCTTATTTAAATGTATATTTTGGCACATTTAGCAGTGCAATAAGTTTAATATCCCAGGTGGTGGTCCACATAATTCACCCTTTAACCACATTTAATACGAATGACAACGATGAACACATTGCATAAATAGAATTTTACTCAGAATGATACGGAATAAAAGTGGCTAAATAGGGTGTTTATCAATGCAATATATTGATAGTTTCCCAAATGAAGAACAAATCTTTTGCTTTCTAATTAAGCTAGCCAGTTAAAACAATTTTAGTATTAACACTTACTGTCACAATTATTATTACTACTGTGGGGATGGGCCTGAATTAAAGAAGTCCAAATTAACTAAAGCTTATTCTATGTGTAATCCATTTAAATGGTCACTATACGAAAGTAAAAATTATTATAAATCTAGATAAATGTGAATTAATTTGAACCTATTTTATGTAATTAAAAATTAACACAAATTCAATAATAATAAACACAAGAAATAGGATTATATTAAATTTATTTTAGAAAAAAAATAATAATCAGTTTTTACTCTGAATTCTTATATTTAATTAAAATGCAATCAAACTATTAATCAATGTACTAAAAAATGTGAACATATATACCTTCAAGCAACTCAGAGGGATTCTTCTGCTCAGAATCAACTTTGCCATAAAAAGTTTCAATAATTTCATCATTAAATTTCTTTGATTGCTGAAGCAATGTATGCATGGTATTATTTATAAATTCAATTATAAATGGCACATGCTTTTTCTTTGCACACTTCATAGCATCTAACCATATATCGATTTCCCAAATGCAATGGTCAAATATTTTGGTACAGAACAAAACCTGCAAGTATATAATAGATATTTTTAATATAAATTAATAATTTTGAAAAAATTGTAACTTTAAACTTACATTTAATGACTTTGAAACATATTGTAAGCAAATTTTATATAATCCAATAGAAGCTTTGCAATAATTCTCTAATAATTATGTACATGCATATATATATAATTTATTTACTAAATAATATTGATTATATTATCTCCTAAGATTAATTATAGTAGAATTATTTGAATTGTAAAAGGAATAAATTAAAAGCAAGAATTAAATTAAATGCTTGTAATCATTGTCATTGATCAGAAATTAGTGGACTTTTCAAGAACAAACCAACTCCCGTTCAATGTACAATAATTAAGAAATAAATACGAAGGTGTTTCGTTCTTTATTCGAGCAAGGTCCTTTACTCGCATTGCCAAACCGGCAATTCAAGTCAGGCCAAACATTTCCATGAATAGAAGGGATTAGGAACCAATGCAGAGATTCAAAGAACTCATTCCGATTAAGCATTTTAGCTAATTTTTACAAGCACTACATTTTACCATCAAAATTAAAAATTTAATTCATTTTAATACTAAATACTTTTTTGTTTGCTGAAACATCACTCAAGTCCCCCCCCCTACATTTTGTCATTACATTTAGGATTTACAATTCAGGTAATTCGATGTTTTTTCCTATTACAAACTATTCATTTTTACAGTGTTACAATGTTCATTTTTACAATGCTATATTAGAAGATTTTTCTTTTTATTTTTACATTATTAATCAGTTTAAAATTTGTTATTCATCTAATTCATTACCCAGAATATGTTGGACATACCACCGGTCTTATCTTACAGGGCACATTGAATTATTTTTTTTCATTTCAAAACAACTGTTGATCTAATGTTAACAGATTTAAGAACTAACTATTCTTTCTACCTTTAAATTTTTTCTATATTTTTTGGTATCAAATTTTCATGTTATTATTTTTTTCTCATGTGTTGGATTACTTGCGTAAACTGTCTCCCCCTTTTTTAAAGACTCAGTCTACAAAAAGCATTTTTTTAATATTTTTATACTTTTTTAAGCTTATTAATGATTCCAATGCTGAAATTTTGCAAATTTTTTGTGCTACTTACTCCACTCTGTAAAACTTTGACTGATAAAGGCACAAACTACTTTAATTAATTTTCTGAGATTACTTTAAGTATTAAATTCTAATATTTAATTTGCATCAATGTTAGCTCAGAAACAGGCTAATGTATTTACTTCTTTTGTTGCACCAATATTCTGACGACAATGCAGGGAAAGACATAAATTACTTTCTTCCTTTTTGGTTTTTAAATTTTTTTTTACACTTTTCATGCAATTTACCACTATGATTCTGTTTTTTTTTTTTTTTTTATTATTATTATTATTATTATTATTATATTATTATTATTATTATTATTATTATTATTTGCATTATTGCATTTTTTCCCCTGAATTGAATTTAGGATTGATTTTAAATGTATTAATTTAAATTATTTTGCATTATAATAAACACAGATGACTAAAATAGAGAGGTGATCATTGACATGTTAACTAGACAGGAAGCAAAGCAGGCATATGCCATGCATTACAAAGAAAGCCTGGGACAGAAGTAAAGTGTTTTGATTCTTAAAATAGTTTCAGCTTTAATGTTTCGTGATTGGCTAAAGTGTTTATCTAAGCATCTACATCAGCAGGGTTATGTAAGATCATATAAAATGGTTCTTGATATTTCCATTAGGTGGTCAATGATTGAAACAGTTGGTTGAATAAATTTTCTGAATTGAACTAGTATGTTGAACCCTCCATTAGAGTACTTATGCACTTAAAAGATAAAATCAATCCCACGTGTCTCATAAATTTAATAATTTAGATGATAAGTCACAGATATTTCATTCTTCATTCAGAGCCAAATTGTTGTAGATGATAATAGAACTTAGATGCATGACTAGGTAATTGCAATCAAATGTAGCCATCATGCTGAGTTACCAAATTTTATTTTCGGACAAAACAATTCTTGATACATAATGTCTTAATTATGAAATATATATGATACAAAGCTTAATATGTGCACCCATTTTTATCACATGTTTGCCTATTCTACATTATAAGATGAAATAGAGAGATATGCTAGCTAGATATGAAACAAAGAAAGAAAGTGCGATATATTCAAAAGAAATCCTGGGAAAGAAATAGAAAGGTTATGGTTCTAAAAATGATTTTGATGTTTTATGATTAACTAAAGCATTTATGTAAGTACCTGCATTAGCATTAGCACACCTGCATTAACACTGTACAACATGGATTAATTTGGAAACGACACATAGATTAATGATAAGCAGTTACTATTTTTAGGACAGAAAGGGAAAAGAGCCAAACTTAAATGTAGTGTTAAGGGACTATTGCAAAATAAATTAGAAGTTCGCTTTATACATATACAAATGTAAATTCATGTACATGCATATATAAAAAAATCTGATGTGTACACCACATGACTTCCTTGTACAGAATATTAAATTATACGCATTTTTTCTTGCAATTCATTTAAACTTATTAGATTGAATAAAACCCTACTTCGCCGTCAGCGCATAAAACACAATAGAATAAATGCATTCTTCAAATTTCACTTTGTTTACCATAGCGACACTCTGGCGCTAGGTTTACTTAACAGTATTATATTTTATTCATATTATAACTCAGAATGCACAAAATTTATATCATTTAAAGAATTATCTAATCGTTGCCACATGTTCTATTCAAATACTATAATAAAGCTAGAACGATGTATAAAAGAAATTAAGCAAACAAAACAAAAAAAGACACAGTTTTTCACAGACGAGTGAGTATTTCTCATTCAATTAATTCAGTTTTCACTTTGCGACAAGGCAAAACTACATAAAAACTCAAGATATCTGTATTAAAAATTACGAAGTAAATCTTAAACGCTTATTTCCTTGAAAAAATTCCAGAAAGGATTAAGCATGATTTAAATAATAAATGAAGGCGTTATCTTTGTTGTTGCGAAGCTAAGTTTCTCTAGATTGGCAACAAATTCGCTATCCTGCTGTTTAAAAAAAACAAAAGCAATGTAAACAAGAGCAATGGCCGCCATCAAAAACGTTATTAGGCTTAGCGGCACTTAAACAATTTTAAAATTGTTGATAATTCTAAAAATATTGCATACAGATTTACTAAAGGCATAAAAACCTTAACCGGAAGATAAGAACAACACATAATTCAATCATTTTTAAAGCAAAAAATGTACAATTTACAAACATATAAGAGTAAAGCAACTGAGATCACTGAGCCGGGTAACATAGTGGATATATATATAAATATATTTATATACGTTAGGTGCGGCCGATTGCAACCAAAATACGAGGTGCACATCTACATGTTATAGCAGTCCTATATACAAAATTTCAATGTTCTGAAGCTACTCGTTTTTGAGTTATGCGAGATATGTACGTTTATACGCACGTACATTCGTACAGACGCCACGAAAAATTCTCTTCAGAATTAATTTTAAAGCAGTTTCATAATTTTTTTGGAGGAAAAGAGTGTTTTATTCTGTCCTTACATACAGATATCACGGAAATACATCGTTAAATTGCATTTGAAAGAGGTCAAAATGGGATATTTTCGTTGAAATATGCTGCCTGAAACTTTTCGCGATTACAATACTTCCTTTTTACTTCCTATGAATCATATTCCAATAACATATGTTAATTATGACTTAAAAGTAATTACCACAACAATCTACTGTTAATAAAAATACCAAAGTATTAAAACCAATATGTATTACTTTATATACAACTTCTGATATGCCAGCAATTGTTTGAGAGCCCTGAGGTGATAAGTACACATCAAAAACAATCATCAGAGGTGATTCAGCCATTTTCTGTAAAAATAAATTATGAAATAAATTAACAGAAGCTACATTACTTTACAATTTTAATAGCATCAAAAAATTTAATAGCTACAAAAACATAAAAATACTTCTTTTTGATATGTTTAGCAGGAAATTTAAATAATTCAGTATCATACCTTATTCCATAATACAAGAGATTCATTTCCTTGTTTTGCAACGATGTCTATGATTTCAATATTGATTCTGCATAGTTCTTCCCTTGTTAATAAATTCGAACATCCCTTTAGATTACTGAACAAAGCAGGCAAATTTAAATTAAAATCTTGACAAACATTAAGTGACAGTTGCTTAAAAACTTTTATTACTTCAAGAACTTTCAATAGCTGAGCTGAAAGTGTTGGAGCAGGGAAATCTATAAGAGGGTTAACAAAATACAGTTTAGTTGCCACATACAAGTAAAAATACAATAAAAATATACATTAATGAAACTTGCCTTTTAAAATTTATTAATTTAGATAATGTCAAATTCAAATAATTTCATTCATATTAAAAATTATTTGGCTATATTTAACAAATTAGGCTTGAAATACAAAAAAGAAAACTATTTTTGAAGATTTTAGGTGCCATTTTGAATAAAAGAATAGCATATATGCTTAAGTAATGTACGCGCATTTTTTACTAAAATTACATCACTAAAATGCAGGTGCGGACATTACACAGGTTGTTCAAATGTCACACTTTTTCTCATGAGTAATTTTGGATGTAAATTTCCTTTCAAACTAAGTTAAGTTTTAAGTGAAAGAAAATGGCATAAGTAATAAAAGTATCAAATTTAAACTTGTCTAATGGCAACCTTAAATTTACAAACTCCCTTTCTCCCATCCACATACATAATAATATAAATTACCCCATTTATGTTACCAACATTCAGCACATATTAGTTTGCACAGGAGCACAATATAGAGGCACAAATTAACCAACACTTGCAATTTTAATATTTACTTTTGCACAAATTAAATAAATGTTAGTTCTTTTAATATCTTGCAAACATTACTAAAAAAAAAATCTGTTCTGACACACTGTATGAAAATTTTTCTTGTTATGTCTACTTGAGTGAATGGAAAATCTTTCTGCAGCAAACAGTAGCATAAAAACATACAAGAAGGCAAAAAAAAATGCATATTCTTTCTTTAAAGATGTTTATTGACTAATGTTATTGACTGAAGGGAAAAAGGCGATGCTAAAAAATAATATATATATTTTAAAGTAAGAAGTTCTTTAGTCTTTGGGGTGTGGACATTATGCGGGTCACTTTTTTTATACAAATTTTATCTGTAAAGTTGCTGTGTGGACATTACACGAGCTTATACGGTAGGATTTAAAAAATTACATATCACATATTACATACTCTAATATTTATTCACTATAATGTAGAATTCAATTATGAAGATATTATGAAGGAAAAAATTGAATACAACAGAATAAGAATTTATTACTCATTTTACTAGGCTACACTTTAAATATTTTCAAACTGAAACTCTTTTCAAGAAATGAAGGTATAGGAAGAGTTGTCACTTGGGGTATGATCTATCAAAGCTAGAATGGAGATGGACAAACTTGTACTGTCACCCATGAAACATCCAAGGCTTTTGCTAACATATTCTTTTCCCTCTTGACCATCATGACTTTGTTTAGATCAGGAGGAATACAGTGATGTTACTGAATTGATACATAAGTTTGTCCGAAATATAAGTGAATGCCTACAGCTCTCTATTTTCTCTAATAGTAGCTTTGATGTCGATATTCATTATTCACTCCCTCCAATGTGGTTTTGGGTTAGCAGACTGATGTAATAAATCTCCATAGCTTATCTGTGGGCAGACCAGTTTAAGTAGAAAAGTCAAGATTGGAAATAAAAACAACAGTCAAAAAGAAAATCTCTTCAAACTTGTTGAAAAAACATTTTAAATCAGGGCCTTATATTAGCAAAAGGAAAACTGTTTTGCTGCTTCTTTGTGGCAATGTTTCTTGGATAAAAATACAGCACTGATATAACTATTTAGATTGACTTTTAAATTAATATGCATAAAAAATGGAGAAAGTTCAAAGAAAATTTGTGGAAGAATTGTTTAAGAAATTTTAAAATGCAGAAAAACAAGTGTTACAAAAGAAAGAAAGGCAAGAAGAATGTCAGCAAGAAATAAATCACAGTAACAAATGCAGTCATGATTATAAAAGAATGCTGTTTATTTATTAGAAATGCTGTTTATTTGGAATTTTAATAGTTTTTATTTTGCTGGTGGATCATTTTTCTAAATCTAGAATGATTTCATTTTGTGGATTATTATTGAATAAACGAAGAAAGAGAGTTTTCAATAAAACAGTAATATTCTAATACCATAATACTTGAAAAAAGAAAGACGCTTTAGATGATATTGTGTTCATCACCACATACTAAACTCCCTAATATCTAACGTCAGCCTTGTTTGATTTGCAAGAGGTGCAACTTAATGCAAACTGTTAAGGGCTATTTACATAATTTTCACTCAATATGCACACCTTCAAAATAGTGTGGGTTTGGTTTTTCTTCTGGAATAAAATGAATTATAGATGAATATTTTGATTTTCCAGTGTACATGAAAGCTACATTTATATTACACATATCACCATCCATCATGCAAAAAATTCTTTTACTTTTTTACATTACTAGAGATGCCAATCATTCAGGAAGGTTATTGATAAAATTTAATTATGATTGCAACACCCAAGCATTTCTTATACCAGATGGAAGGCACTTAAAAGCATATACTATCATATAATTGCAATTCTGCACAAGAAAAATAAGATTAAAAATAAATCAAGATATAATTTCCACATGCTATTTTTACTGACCTGATAATGTTAACTTTATTGCACATTTTGCTACAGCCAGCTCTTAATGGTTAAACTTATTCTGGTAATAAACATGTTGTGAGTAATAAATAGTGCTATGGATATTTAGAGGGTCAGTGGATAAATTGGAACAAAACTGAATTTGATTCTTCCACTCAGTGCTGAAAATCCTTTCAGTCATTGCAATCTGAACTACCATAAGCAGCACATTTTGCCATACTTGCACAATTTCTTATCTCACAGAATAACTACAGCAGTTGTTTTAATCCTTCTACATAAATTTCTTTTAGATGACAGAATCATGAAACATTAATTGAAACAAAAGAGTCTGCATTGCTAGCAAATTCAAGTGGAATATTATGCTCCACCAGAAATAATGAAAATAAAAATTTCACATTTATAAAGAATTGTCATAGTTTTTTTAAAGAAAAATGATTGATACTGCGTAAAAGTAGAACTTATTTTCATCTAGTCCTGGTGTTTATTAAATTGCACTGTCTGCAGACTTAAATGACTTTTTGTCATGACCACCATCTGTAACCAAAAGGTCACTACTGCACACAGAACAGAACACAAGATTTTTCAGAATTTCAAAGAAAGAAACACAGCCATTCTTCATTATGACTTAGTTGTTTAGATGAACCTTTTGCCTCTTTAAAAGCAATATGGTAAATATATTTACCACAACAACTTTTCATAAAAATACATGTAGGTGTCATATACATGTGTTTATGGCTTCAACAAGTCCCATATTAAAATCTGTCATATATTTCAAAACATATGCAAGTGACACCAGCTGAGTCAATTTGACATATTGATTGCATTGTCAGCCCAACCACTATAATTGGTATGTAGTATCTATCATGACATGCACTATAGCTGGTATGTAGTATCTATCATGACATGAGCAGAATCACACATTTTGATCCTTCCCATTTGTAACTGGCATTTTCCATAGCAATTTTTATCGCAACTATAATTCTGAAACAAATGGTAAATTAACAGTAATAATTATGGAAAATAAATTACAGTTGGCATCTCTACATTCTGCCCATGCAAATGCAGCATTTTTAATTTCCTTGAAGAACTTTCTCTTGTATGTACAACTCAATTAATTATTATATGCAGAAGACCAAATCTATAGCTTATTTTTGCATTCACCATGATTTTTCTCTCTACTCATAGCTCTTATTACTTTTGATTTAACATAATCGATATATTTATTTCACTTGAATAAATATATTATTATTAGCCCAAAAATTATAAAATAAAACAGCCTAATAGAATAGAGTACGCCTCTAGATAATATGAGAGATATTCGTTAATGCCAATGACTGAGTTACAAAACCATATCAATATACCATATCATTAATAACATACCTGAAAATTTTAGAATAAAATTCAACATTTAAATATTACCAAACATTTAAAAATTGAGAATGTTAAAAAAAAGTAATGATAATCAACTTTCACAAAATCATGGTGATGAATATGATTTAAGATATAAACTAAAGTCAAAATGCAATAATAAAAGTACACAAACAAAGAATGGCTCATAATAGCAATGAATTTGATTAAAATTATTGCTGCATAAGTATTGTACTAGAAGAAAATAAATTTAAAATAATCAAAAGTTTGTGGAAATCTAATTGTTCTAACACCTTGTACAAAATAAATGTCTACTTCTTTCTAAAATATTACCACAACCCCATAACATGATCAAAAATTCATAAAAAGATTTTAAATTACTTCATGTTAAAAATCCGACAGTCAATTAAAGTATGTTGCTTTCATATAATGAAGATCGGGACATAAAAAAATATAATAACTTACCTTTATCTATATTATTTTCAGGTGCTGATTCATTTCTTGATGTTAATCTATTCCAATAGGTTTGTAGCTCTTTCATTACATTTAAATTCTGGCAAAACATATTGATAATGGTGATTAGGCAAGAACTGATATTAATAACAAATATTTAAACCAAAAGATATACAGATATATGTATAGCAATACACACACCGAAATGTCAAAGAAACAGTGGTACATATGAGCCTATGCAGAATACATACTAACACTATACCTGTCTTAAATTAGAAGTCAAATAAAAAAAATCAACATTACATTTGCAAATTTTCACAGGACTAGTTTCAATGGTTTTATTGAACCATCATCTTTAGCAGCCAAAGCGCAAATGAACGGGATAAGATAAGAACGGCTGGACAAAAGTTAAGCTACTAACACCATCTATTGATGAAATGAGAACTAAAACATAATTTCCTTAAAGGCTGAAGGCAAAGATGGATTGGAATTAAGGTCGTTAACTAGAACAAAAAGATTTTTTTTTTCTTTTCTTTTAGCCTCTAGAAAATCTAATTCACCAATGAAAGATGTTCTTTGAATAATTTTGGCTGCAGAAAAATTGAAAGTGTGATTTTCAGACCAACAATGCAACAGAGGACTTCTGTGTTTCCTTTTTTCTAACTTATGCCACATGTTCCTTAACGTGAAATTTTAAGGCTTTCTTAATTTGGCCAATATAAATTAAATCACACTGACAAGAAATCCATAAATGCCCCAGGAATTCATATTCAGAATGGAGTCCTTGAGTCCTCGGAATTTTACTGATAGGAGAATAAACGACGCAAAAGTTCAATTTTTTCAAAACACGTCCAATTTTATAACTAATTGATGGAAAGAAAGGAATGAGAACAGAATTCTAATAATCTCCTAAAACAAGTGTGTGCTTTTTGGTGTGTTGAGATAAGAATTTTTTAACTGCTTGATTAATAATGTTGGATGAAAAGCCCCTGTCAATAGCTACTGCTTTTAAATAATTTAGTTCTTGATCAAGAGCCAATTTGGAGGAGCAAACATGAAATGCGCGGAAAACATAGGGGAAAAATTAAGCTAACTTTTGTTTAGTTGGATGATATGATTTGAAGTGCGGTGGAAGGCAAACCCATGAAGGTTTACAGGAAACCATAGTACTGAAGTTGGATGTGTTACGTGTGAACAAAATGCCGAAGAAGAGAAGAGAATTGCATGTCTCAAGTCTAAAAGTGAACTGAATAGAAGGATCAATGGAATTCATTGTTGAAAAAACATTATTTAAATCATCTTTATTACTGTGAAATAGGGTAAAAGTATCGTCTACTTAGCAGAACCATACCGAGAAGTTTAAAGTTTCAAATAATTTTGATTCATAATAATGCATGTAGATATAGCCATGATGGGACTGAGAGGGCTTTCCGTGGCTAATCCCTCAGTTTGCTTCTGATACTTATTTTGGAAAACAAAATGCATTTGTTTTAAACAGAGTTGAGAGAGGGAAATTAGCTCATCAGTTTTGCTATAAGAGAAATGAAATCCACGAAGTCTGGTTTCTAGACATCTTAATGCACTCTACACTGGAACATTGGTGAATAATGATTTTACATCAAAAGAAACCATGAGTGAATTTCTAGGAGAAATGCTTTTAACTTTTTTTACAAACTCTACTGAATTCTTTATGGTGTAAATGTTAAACTTTGAAAGAAGTTTGAAGAATTGAAAATCTAGAAACTAAATATTTAGCTAACGCATACGAGTCAGTGCGTAAATTTGATACTATAGGGTGGAAAGGAATACCATTTATGAATTTTGGTAAGAGTATATAATCTGGCACAATTCACAACAGATAGGATAAGCGACTGTTTTAAGTTGGTTGAAAGGATTTGTGAAGACTTGATTGCAGTTTTTATTTTTGAGAGGTCCGAAGGTAACACTAGAAATATTAACTATTGGCTTAATATTTACAATGGGAAGATTTTTTGAAGTACTTAAATTGGAAGACTGTAAAAGAAGTTTTTCAAATTTAAATGCAAGGGTGTTTTTATGATGGTTAACCACATTCTCAGTTCTAGACCAAGACTCTTGTTCAATGTCAGTGAATTTTGGATATGAATTAGCGAGTTCCAAATGAAGCTTATATAATAGCTTATGTTCGATTTTGGATAACTGTTGTAATGTATCCCTTATGATGGACCGAAGCAAGGCAAGTTTGTAGTGTAAGAGAATTCTTGAAACACGATTGGAAGATTTTTGATTAGATTTTATTTCAATGAAGAGATTGGAGATCAATTTTTTGCAGGTTCAGGTTATAGTGCAGAGGTCATCCATTGTTTAACCATTGGTAATGTGGGAATTATCCAACTGCACTATCTCTTTATTTGAACATAATTTTTTGAAGAATTTTGACATATTTACATTTTTTTACATATGAATACAATATAGTTGTGACATATGGTGCCTTTCATATTCGAATACATAATGGTAAATATAGAACATAATAGTAAATACAGAACATAAAGGCAAATATATAACATAAAGGTAAATATATAACATATTGATACATAATAACATACATATAACAATAAATTTATGAACATATATATATATATATATACATACTTGCCAACCTATGACACTCGAAAATCAGGACATTTTTTAAAGAAATCGGGAGATTTTTCACAATGTTAAAAAGACTTTTTAAAAGATGAAAATATAGTTTTTAATAATGAATTAACTTTAAATAGTAACTGATTCTTAAATGCAAGCAATACAAAAATACCTTACACATAAAAAACATTTTTATTACATGCATCGTTTAAGGGGGAAAAAAACTTTAAACAGTTTCCGTACAAATTTTATAAACAGCGGCAGATTTTGCTTTCTTTAAGAAAGAAACTTCATAATTTTGTTCATAGCAATTGCCACATAGGCCTGCTTTTGCTAATATAAGTTTTTCTAATGTGTCATCACTAATTTTAGATCTAAATTTAGTCCTACTAGCAAGGAATATAACTGAGAGTTCTATTTTCCTTCTTGGTTGTTCAATTTTTAATGCTATTTGCAAGCACTGATATATGTTAGTCTCAGGAAGTTTCAAGTGATAATTTTTCGTTAATGGACATTTGAATATGTAATGGTTGTAGTCGCCCCTTTCCTCACATATACATTGCTCAGAAGGAGCTATGTTTTGTTTGTAAAAATACCTGGGGAAGGGACCATGTCCTGTTATAAGCCAACTGATTAGATGGTTTGTACTAAGTCTGTCCGTATTGATATGAAGTTTGAGTTGGAAGAGTCTTCTCACTTTATCGCTATTTTTCCATTCTTCTACCCATACTTGTTCCCGTAGGCATATAAGTTGGTGTTTTAGCTGAGGTTTGGGCTAAGAGGGATTTTTTTATTTCTGCATCAGTGTTAGTGATAGCAGATTTTGCCGCTTCATCTACTTCTTCATTTCCAGAAATCCCCTCATGGGATTTAACCCATGAAATAGTAGAATGTATATCGAGATTCAAGATGGAAATATCTTCAATGATCGGAGAATTATGTTATAATGCACACACATCTGACTCCTTCTTCCATTTTGGAGCCATCTGTGTATGCGCATTGGTAGTAGTCTCTACTTTGTGTATCTTTTGCAATACAGTTGATTTTTTTAATTTACTGCTGGGTTCCTTCTGTATGGGTTACAGAGAGATTCATAATTGGAATATTCAAAGTCTCTATTCTTTGAATCTTTCTTGGGATGGAGCTTTTTTCATTTTCTGATACAATGCTCTAGTCTTGTTCCCCTCTGTTCTCAGATTCCACCAATTAACTATAATTTTTTGTTGAGGTCTTAAATGATTCTTGCTATGTTCTTGGATTACTTTGATAAATTTTTCAGTGATATCATTTAATTCTTTACTATTATGTGCAGATATAATTTCATTGTTGATATTCTAGAAATCTTGTTTTATTGAGGTTATCAGGTTCAATGTTCCGTCTAACCTTCTTCGGGAACATGCAAGGACCTGACTCGGAACAGAGAGCTTACTAAAGCTATGTTCAAAACTGTGGGAAGTAGACAGGATACACAAGGAGGGTATACAAAACCCTTTATTTTTCTCTATTTACAATAACTTCCGTACTTCGGAAATACACAGACTCGCTACTTGGGGTCAAAACGTAAAAGTATAAAAATAAAACTAAACTCTAATTTAACTTTAAATAATAAACGTGGAAGATTGGCCTTATATTAACAGGAAGCCGTATGTAGTACAGATAACTGAGAACACTACAATACGTTTAGAAATTATCAAGAGGATTAAAACCTCTGGCCTGGAAGGCAACAGCAACTGAGTAAAACTTCTAAGGTAAGCGGCCTGCTTCGACTAACTCCTTCCTCTCTCTCGCTTGGCAAAAAGCCACAACTTAAATACTTGGCGTTCGTCAGACAAACTTTGCATAAATACTTTAACGCTTATAATTCTGGCCGGAAGTAGAAAAATAAGAAGTGATAGTAAAGATTTAAAATAAAATAAATGTTAGTAAAACTTAAGATCCTTACATACTTCCCGCCAGAGTTAATTAGTTTGAAACTGAGGTCTAAAACGACCTTGTTGAAAACTTTTAGCTCTAGAATCTAACGCGAGGCCAATCTTTTACAAACATTTTTCGCTAGAAACTAGAAATTTAAAAGAAAGAAATTTGTTTTTACAATAGCAGCTCCCAGGACACACAATTTTTTTTTCATCTGTACTGCATCTAAACAGGAGCTTTTATTCAAATCTGGTTCCTTCCAAACTAGTTTAATGAAATGTTACACAATGAAATGGCAAGTAACATGTATAATTATATTTCTCTTAACATTCTTATTTCATTCATGACTATTTTAATTATCTCTCCCCGTGCTCTCTGACATGTGTTGTAAAAGAACACCAAACACGAATGTGTTTCTGTCTACGTGTTCAACACTTCCTCCTACAATCAAAACACTAACGTGTTAAAATTCAACATACCAAGACCTCGTAACACACCCTAATTTCAACTCTAAACCCTGAGGTACTATTCTGAAAGTGGCTAACTCTGAAGTGTAGCATCAGAGAG